TCGCCTGCATTCCAAGGAATACAAATCAAAAGATTTCAACCGTTACCAGTAATTCAGGCATTTTATCTTACTTATGTGTGCAGTGAAGGTTCTCTGTACACTCTCCAGGTCAGCAATTTTCCCTGCCTTAAAAGGCACTGTTAGCATACAGCAATATTCCATTATTATTATTATAATCAAAAAGAAGTGCTAAACCAAGCAATATTCCAGCCTAGAGAAAACAAGTGATTGGAAGAAAATTATCATAGCCTTGGCATCCCTAGTTTTGAATGTCCTCATCATCTATCCTATCATTTTTCTAGCAATTGTGGTAAATACATTGTTGTGATCTTTGAAAGTGAAATCCTCTGACATTCTCTCTCCCAGGTCCCTTAAATTAATTTTTCGCCCTATTGTGGGGTTGGAATTAGTTTTATACTCCGATATAGTTTTAATTTATTCAAGTTTTCCACATTGGAGTAATTGAAATTTCTCTTCATTGAACTTCATAGTTTTCTACGGCCCATTTAAAGATTTAGTTGATATCCACTTGGAGTCTTGCAGTGTCTTCAATGGAGTACACTGTCATGCAGATTTGGGTGTCATCCACAAAGAAGGCATCGTACTGTGGCTTACATCCCTGTCTGTCAGATATGAGGATGAGAAACAGAATAGGGGCGAAGGTTGTACGTATTATCAAGGGAGAAGCGCTAAACCTGCAGGATTATACAGCGCCTGTGGGGGGATGTGGAAGGTATTCAGGCTTAATTCAGGGAACTGTAGCACAGACCCAATTTCCTAGGTCAAGAGCTCCTCACCAGCATCAAGGAACCTTCCTTGAGGGGAGGATGGGGGCGAGTATTGTGCCTTGTGGAAGAGCTTTTCATTGTACCCGCTGCAGACTTTACTCTGTATTTTATTTGTTAGGAGGTTATAGATTCATCTACCAACTTCACCTGTTATTCTTTTATTACGCATGCTTGCACTTGTCAAAAGCTTTCGTAAAGTCTGTGTATAATACATCTGCATTTTGTTTGTCCTCTAGAGCATCTAGGACATTGTCATAGTGGTCCAGTAGTTGGGACAGGCAGAAGCGACTTGCTTTAAATCCATGTTGCCCTGAGATATGTAGCTGATGAGTAGATGAGTGGCAATCATGCCTCTTAGAACCCTTTCAAAGATTTATTTCTACAAGGTTTACAGACCTAGCTGACATCAGTGGCATACTACTGCATAGAAAGCCGCTTGTTATGCAGAGCATTTCGGGAAAAATTAGGTCAATTTTGTCCCAGGATGCAACCCACACCAGTCGACTAACACCAAGGTACCCATTGTACTGATATGTGAACATGTACAACCAGTGTAAGGAAACATGCCCAATGTTTTCACCTGGCTGGGGATCAAACCTGGACATCAGCATGTGAAGTGAGAGCTTTTGCAACCAGGCCATGGGCCACCATAAAGAGGAAATCATCATACAGCAGAATACCATTTTTTTCCACTTATAAATGCCAGATGACAAGTTACACTAACATATATTAAGTTAGCAATAGAACCAGGCATTAAAACAATAAAAAGTAAAATCCATACACAGTACACTCATTAGTTGCATTAAAATATTTGTAGTCTCAATGCAGAGTGAGAGGTATTTATTGTAGAAAGTCAGGTGTAGTAGCTTGCCACCTACCACACCTATACTTAAATTTAAAGCGCCCCAGCACAACTATTATATTTATTATTATTAGTATTATTACCATCGACATGCCTTAGATGCTAATGGAAATAAGTAATTTTGTCTGACTTTTTTGGGTTATCCTAGGTAATCTACACATGTTGCTATGTATGATAATTTAAGCAACTGTATTTTTGTGTACCTGTACTAACGCAGAAGTCAGACAATTAGCAGTCACTGGGTCAGAATAAACGCTATAGATACCTGTCCAGTTTTGGTTCAAACACATACAGTAGCACGAGTTTCTGAAGCATTTACCCCACAATACAAACACACATTATGTACAAGTTATCTTGATGTAATGCTGTTACTATATATTAAACATGAAACTAAAACATCTAATACTCACATAATATTGTTTATTTAAAATTTTAAAAATCATTTCAAAAAAAAAAAAAAAAAAAAAAAAAAAAAAAACATACATTATTGTAATAACTTGGAAATTTACACACATTTTTTTTTATTACATGCTGCTTTCAGGAACTTAACTACTATGTTATCCAACAGTCAATTGTACAATATTCTTGATTTATATTATTATTATTATAATCCAGGGGGAAGCGCGAAACCCATAGGATTATACAGCGCCTGTGGGGGGATGTGGAAGGCATTCAGGTTTAATTCAGGGAACTGGAGCACAGATCCAATTCCCTAGATCAAGAGCCCCTCACCAGCATCAAGGAACCTTCCTTGAGGGGTCTTGATTTATAGTATCCAGTCTAACCCTGAAAATGATGATAATGAAGGAGTGAAAGTAGTTGAAGCGGCTGAAATGAAGAAGAATTCTGCCATCTATTGTGTGTGTCTGTAATGATCTAGCAACAATTCACAATTAATCTACAAATTGGAGGTGAAACTTAACATATTTCTTTACCTTTCTTTGTGCCATTCTAAGCAGCTAGTTTTTTATGCACCTTTAGCTTATCCTGTCTGAGTTATAGTGTGAAAAACAGGATTATAGAAGCCATGATGGGTCTTGCCAGATTCACAGGGCATAGTTACTTATGACATTGAGATATTAAAGTCATTTCATATTTCACATTCTCACAGTCATTTCATACACAATATTAAATTCTTAAGACTGGGCTGACAGAGCAAGAACTTGAACTACCCTACCTTTCCTCAGATCAAATCTGATTATGATTCTCCAGGTCCTGTGTGATTCCTGCGGGTTTAGTGATTCTCCCCATGAATGTAATAACCTTAATATTCCTGTTGGTCCTGAAAAATTATTACATTGTGACTGACAGAGAAAAGGGTAGAAAGCATAAAGTTCATTTAGTCAGGTGAAGAGATCCAGAGACAGTCAAGGTATGCAAGTTCTGAAAATTAGAGAATTTAACTCCTCAAGGAGGTTCTTTGATGCAGGTAACAGGCTCTTGATCCAAAAATTGACTTGTCCTTCCCTTCCTTGGACTGAACGTGACTGCTACCCATTCCTCAGGTGCTGTATAACGCCTCCTAGTTTAAACTATCGGACTAAGCTAGGAGACTGCTAGTAGGGTGATGATATTGTCATGTATTCCAGAATGAGTTCATGTAACCATTTTTGATAGTCAAATATTTTCACAGCCCTATGTTAATGGTTTGTTGGCTCACTAGGGTTAGAGCCTGTTGACAATCCAAAAGGTCATTAAGGCTGTATGATACCTGCACACTACCAGTCAAGGATACTGTAGGGATTAAATTAAACTTGTGTATACATGCTGAGAAATACACCTTCTGAAGTGTGTATGAATTTTTATTATCAGTGTATGTATATATAAATTTTAATGAAAATAAGAAAAAATTTTGGAGTGAGTTAAACAAGTTAAGAAAGCCTAGGGAAAATATGGATTTGTCAGTTAAAAACAGAGTAGGGGAGTTAGTAGATGGGGAGATGGAGGTATTGGGTAGATGGCGAGAATATTTTGAGGAACTTTTAAATGTTAAGGAAGAAACAGAGGCAGTAATTTCATGCACTGGTCAGGGAGGTATACCATCTTTTAGGAGTGAAGAAGAGCAGAATGTAAGTGTGGGGGAGGTACGTGAGGCATTACGTAAAATGAAAGGGGGTAAAGCAGCTGGAAATGATGGGATCATGACAGAAATGTTAAAAGCAGGGGGGGATATAGTGTTGGAGTGGTTGGTACTTTTGTTTAATAAATGTATGAAAGAGGGGAAGGTACCTAGGGATTGGCAGAGAGCATGTATAGTCCCTTTATATAAAGGGAAAGGGGACAAAAGAGACTGTAAAAATTATAGAGGAATAAGCTTACTGAGTATACCAGGAAAAGTGTACGGTAGGGTTATAATTGAAAGAATTAGAGGTAAGACAGAATGTAGGATTGCGGATGAGCAAGGAGGTTTTAGAGTGGGTAGGGGATGTGTAGATCAGGTGTTTACATTGAAGCATATATGTGAACAGTATTTAGATAAAGATAGGGAAGTTTTTATTGCATTTATGGATTTAGAAAAGGCATATGATAGAGTGGATAGAGGAGCAATGTGGCAGATGTTGCAAGTATATGGAATAGGTGGTAAGTTATTAAATGCTGTAAAGAGTTTTTATGAGGATAGTGAGGCTCAGGTTAGGGTGTGTAAAAGAGAGGGAGACTACTTCCCGGTAAAAGTAGGTCTTAGACAGGGATGTGTAATGTCACCATGGTTGTTTAATATATTTATAGATGGGGTTGTAAAGGAAGTAAATGCTAGGGTGTTTGGGAGAGGGGTGGGATTAAATTATGGGGAATCAAATTCAAAATGGGAATTGACACAGTTACTTTTTGCTGATGATACTGTGCTTATGGGAGATTCTAAAGAAAAATTGCAAAGGTTAGTGGATGAGTTTGGGAATGTGTGTAAAGGTAGAAAGTTGAAAGTGAACATAGAAAAGAGTAAGGTGATGAGGGTGTCAAATGATTTAGATAAAGAAAAATTGGATATCAAATTGGGGAGGAGGAGTATGGAAGAAGTGAATGTTTTCAGATACTTGGGAGTTGACGTGTCGGCGGATGGATTTATGAAGGATGAGGTTAATCATAGAATTGATGAGGGAAAAAAGGTGAGTGGTGCGTTGAGGTATATGTGGAGTCAAAAAACGTTATCTATGGAGGCAAAGAAGGGAATGTATGAAAGTATAGTAGTACCAACACTCTTATATGGGTGTGAAGCTTGGGTGGTAAATGCAGCAGCGAGGAGACGGTTGGAGGCAGCGGAGATGTCCTGTTTAAGGGCAATGTGTGGTGTAAATATTATGCAGAAAATTCGGAGTGTGGAAATTAGGAGAAGGTGTGGAGTTAATAAAAGTATTAGTCAGAGGGCAGAAGAGGGGTTGTTGAGGTGGTTTGGTCATTTAGAGAGAATGGATCACAGTAGAATGACATGGAAAGCATATAAATCTATAGGGGAAGGAAGGCGGGGTAGGGGTCGTCCTCGAAAGGGTTGGAGAGAGGGGGTAAAGGAGGTTTTGTGGGTAAGGGGCTTGGACTTCCAGCAAGCGTGCGTGAGCGTGTTAGATAGGAGTGAATGGAGACGAATGGTACTTGGGACCTGACGATCTGTTGGAGTGTGAGCAGGGTAATATTTAGTGAAGGGATTCAGGGAAACCGGTTATTTTCATATAGTCGGACTTGAGTCCTGGAAATGGGAAGTACAATGCCTGCACTTTAAAGGAGGGGTTTGGGATATTGGCAGTTTGGAGGGATATGTTGTGTATCTTTATATGTTTATGCTTCTAGACTGTTGTATTCTGAGCACCTCTGCAAAAACAGTGATAATGTGCGAGTGTGGTGAAAGTGTTGAATGATGATGAAAGTATTTTCTTTTTGGGGATTTTCTTTCTTTTTTTGGGTCACCCTGCCTCGGTGGGAGACGGCCGACTTGTTGAAAAAAAAAAAAGAAAAAAAAAAAAGTATATACATAAAGGTGATATATTTATTAGAATATGTATGAAGTGTCTACCTTTATGGACTGACTTACTTCCACGAGTAAGTCAGTCTACATCTCCTGCATCTCTATTTCTTCCACTGGCTACACTAAAAAAAGTCTCCATCATGCCATTTAGTACGCTATAAGGAGAGAAACTTGGCCAATTATATGCATTAGAGACTGAATGTTTATCTTTACTTAAGGACAAGGAGGAAATACACGTCTTCAGAATACTAAACACGGAGAAATGTTTGCTTTCATAATCATTACAGAACAGGCAAGGTACTGCATTGCTACTGTAATTGAATATCTTGCCCAGTATTTATTCAACCGCTTATGTTATTATTTATATCACAGACAATGCACAATTAATTTTTACTATTGCATTGCTGTGAAAGTGCCATTATTTTTATTACATGCCAATAAATTAAGTGTGAAATTTAGTAAAATAAGAATAAATAAGCACAGCATACCAAAAATTTGAGGTGGCAGTCATTTATTTACTGTACATGTATAAGAAGTCTTTAGTCGTATTATATTACACACAAGTACATACACTGTGAGATGTATATCTCTCGTGTACATGCTGAGTTTACTTAAATCCCTCTTTTAAGGATTAAACTATTCTTGACTGGTGGTTAATAGGTGATATGCAGCCTTAATAATGGAAAATATATCTGATCATGAAGTTACTTTCTCGCAGTCATTCATTTTTTAAAGTTCAGTACTGATATCGATGTAATCTGCGTTGTCGAACCTCCTCCGCACTAGGTTGTGGATACGACATTCCAGAACCATCTGAAATACAGATAAATGATGAGTAACTTTCATATATATATTTTTCTGGTAGGGTAAGCTTAGGCTGGCATCTATACTCCATTAGAGGATTTCTTCACATTTCTATAATTATTCCAGTCTTACATTTCTACCCACTCAATGTTTTCACCCCTCCCCTATAGTCTCATTTAAATATACTTTCAATAAATAAAAATATTGTAAAAACTGTAGAATAATAATGGAATAATGACAATTACAGTTACAATAAAAAAATCAATATTTCCCAGAAGAGTGAGTGGTGCACTTAGGAGTCTGTGGAGACAAAGAACTTTGTCCTTGGAGGCAAAGAGGGGAATGTATGAGAGTATAGTTTTACCAACGCTCTTATATGGGTGTGAAGCATGGGTGATGAATGTTGCAGCGAGGAGAAGGCTGGAGGCAGTGGAGATGTCATGTCTGAGGGCAATGTGTGGTGTGAATATAATGCAGAGAATTCGTAGTTTGGAAGTTAGGAGGAGGTGCGGGATTACCAAAACTGTTGTCCAGAGGGCTGAGGAAGGGTTGTTGAGGTGGTTCGGACATGTAGAGAGAATGGAGCGAAACAGAATGACTTCAAGAGTGTATCAGTCTGTAGTGGAAGGAAGGCGGGGTAGGGGTCGGCCTAGGAAAGGTTGGAGAGAGGGGGTAAAGGAGGTTTTGTGTGCGAGGGGCTTGGACTTCCAGCAGGCATGCGTGAGCGTGTTTGATAGGAGTGAATGGAGACAAATGGTTTTTAATACTTGACGTGCTGTTGGAGTGTGAGCAAAGTAACATTTATGAAGGGGTTCAGGGAAACCGGCAGGCCGGACTTGAGTCCTGGAGATGGGAAGTACAGTGCCTGCACTCTGAAGGAGGGGTGTTAATGTTGCAGTTTAAAAACTGTAGTGTAAAGCACCCTTCTGGCAAGACAGTGATGGAGTGAATGATGGTGAAAGTTTTTCTTTTTCGGGCCACCCTGCCTTGGTGGGAATCGGCCAGTGTGATAATAATAATAATAATTTTAACAGAGGAAATTATAATTTTTTTTTAACACACTGGCCATTTCCTACCGAGGCAAGGTGACCCAAAAAGAAAGAAAAACCCAAAAAGAAAAAACTTTCATCATCATTCATACATAATCACTGTCTTTGCAGAGGCACTCAGATATGACAGTTAAGATGTCACTCCAAACAGCCCTCCTTTAAAGTGCAGGCATTGTACTTCCCACCTCCAAGACTCAAGTCCAGCTAACTGGTTTCCCTGCTCACACTCCAACACCTCATCAGGTCCCAAAAACTGTTCGTCTCTAATCATTCCTAACACACACACAGATCTATAATAATAATAATAATACAGTGGTCCCTCGATAATCGTCGGGCTCGATAGTCGACCTTTTCGGAAATCGTCGCGTTATTTTCGTCCAAACATTGGCTCGCAAATGGTCAGTTGACTCGCTAATCGTCATTCGTCCTGGACGTGTACTCACGGCTCTGAGCCGCCTCAGCCTCCCTTCCCAGCCAGTGTGCCATTGTTTACCAGTGAGCGACGGTCCACTCACTTGTTCATACGAAATATTTCATAATATTCTATTCATTTTAGTGCTTAGCCCTTGTGGCTTAGCGCTTCTTTTTGATTATAATAATAATTTTAGTGCTTGCAAGTGCTAAATAAGCTACCATGGCTCCAAAGAAAGCTCCTAGTGCCACGCCTTTGGTAAAGAAGGTGAGAAATACAATTGAATTTAAGAAAAACATCATTGAACAATATGAAAGTGACATACCTGTGGCCAAACTGGCCAGGATGTATAACAAACCCCATACAACCATCTCTTCCATTGTGGCAAAGAAAAAGGAAATCAAGGAAGCTGTTGTTGCTTGGAGAAAATTGTGGCCAGACTGTGTCCACAAGAGGGATTTTGAAGGGTTTGTGGCTGACCCTGATGAGCCTATGTCAGTTGTGAAATCTATTGTGGCATTGGGGAGTTCCATGGGGTTGGATGTGAGTTTGGAGGATGTGGAAGAGTTGGTGGAGAACCACAACAAAGAGCTAGCCACTGAGGAGCTGCAAGAGCTTCAGCAGGAACAGCAACAGATCACAGCTCAGAATCTTGCTGCAGAGGAGGAAGAGAGATGGATGAAGGTGCCTTCTTCAGAAATTATGATTTTTGAAATGTGGGGTAGGATGAAAAGATTTATGGAGAAACATCACCCTGAGAAGGATGTTGCAAGCCATATCGGCAACTTGTACAGTGACAGAGTCTTCGCCCATTTTAGGGAAGTTTTAAAGAGACGCCAGTAACAGAGCTCTCTGGACACTTTTTTTGTGGGAGACAGGACTCCAGTGACTCTCAAGCTGGTCCTAGTGGCATTAAGAAACAGAGAAGAGAAGTATGTAGGTGTTGATGGAAGGGGATTCCCCTTCTAAACAGTAACTAATCCAATCTCTCTCCTCCTCCAGTCTTCTATAATCTAAGAAGAATCACCAATAAAGGTAAGTGTTATGCTGTTAATGTTTCATTCATCATGTCCCGTTGTATTGTTTACATACTACATCTATATTTCATGTAAAAAAATTTTTTGTTTTAATACTTCTGGGTGTGAGGAACAGATTAATTGTATTTACATTATTTCTTATGGAGAAAATTGATTCAAAAATCGTCTATTTCGATAATCGTCGCACTTCCAGGAACAGATTAATGACGATAAATGAGGGACCACTGTAATAATAATAATATTAATAATAATAATAATAATAATAATAATAATGTCTTTATTTACTACAAGTACATGTACAAGGTATACAGGCCTAACTGACATCAATGACATACTACTACTATATAAAAAAATGCTTATTATGCAGAGCATTTCATGCAAATTAGGTCAGTTTTGTCCCAGGGTGTGACCCACACCAGTCAACTAACACCCAGGTACCCATTTTACTGATGGGTGAACATAGACAACCAGTGTAAAGAAACACGCCCAATGTTTCTACCCTTGCTGGGAATTGAACGCAGACCCTCACCATGTGAAGCAAGGGCTTTAGACACCAGGACACGGGGACCCTGACATCAATGACAGTTCTATGTGACAGCCACTGAAAGGGCCTGTATTATTTCAAAATTTATATAATAGTTGGAAAACAGTAGTTTTCCAGCTGTAAAACCAGCAAAATTTTCCAAGTTTAACCTTGAAAGAAATGACTCAGTCTCTTTCCCATCATTTATCTATAGCAGACACACAAATCTCCTTCCTCATGACTTTTCTTTAGATATATGAAGACTAGGGATGGCACAACCTTTATCAAGGTAAAGGAATGAACACCTTAAATTAACTCTCCATGTTTTTCACTGTCTTGAGCATGAGAGTCATCAGTGTACTTGACTGAAACAGCTTACTGCATAGGTAAAATGTCTTGCCAATAAAGATACACAGGTGGTGCATATGTGAATTATTCAATGAAACTTTCTTCATGGCTTTCTACTGGGCATCTGGCCTTGAAAATGCTCACATCAACTGCCTGAAGAGTGTAAGCAGCTCTAGATGTTTTGTATAAATGAGTGTCTACTAACAGTCCTACAAAATACCCAAAACTCCCCACGTGGAGGCTGCTACTCATATATTGGCAAATACTTTGATACTGAGAAGAAAGTGGAAATTATAGAATGCAGTGAGCAAAACAATCTTCAAGATCACATCTGCAGAGAAGGAAAAAACTTGCTAGTTATTTGGGAAAATTTTAATATAATTTCCGTGTATAGCACACTAGCTCACTGTACGGTACACTACGCAACAGCATTCCCTCCAAGTAATTGACTTTTCCAGTTAACAATCAGTCCAAGTCTCATCATCTTTAGATAACAGGAGAATTACCAAATATTTTTATAAAGGCTGAGAACAAATCCTCACTCTTTATTTAGACTTTAATATGTCATCTGTACTCCAAGTTTCTATTTTTAATACAGTAAAGACATTTTTACCTTGCTGGGAATTTGAGCCAACTGTGCTGTGTGTGTAAGTATATGATGGTCTATAAGCTGTAGGAAGTTCCATCACTGGCACCATGCCACAAATGACATCAATTATATGCTTCAGTGGCCCCAAAACATAGGCAAGCCCCACCAATATACCTGTGGACAATGCAAGTCTATAAATATACATATAACATTCAGGGAAATGAAAAACAACTTTCTGCAAAGGAAACTAAGAGTGAACAAAGAAAAAGAGTTAGGAAATGCAAGCAAGTAGGAGTATGGGAAATGAAAGATTAGGTCAGATTAGGAAACAGTTGTGAATGGGAATAAAAGTACTAGCATATGGGTCTATGAAGATATATATAAATCACGGAATAAATAAGGCTAAGAATGTAGCAGGAGTGTTGAGGAACCCATGAAGAGAAAGCTGATGATTTAATGGAAAAAAAAGGGAGGGGGGGGGGAACAATATACCAGAGTTTAATGTTGACAAAGTTTTTGTATGAACGTAAATGTCTTTGAATGTTACAGCATGGAGACTGGAGGCAATGGAAATGTCATGTCTAGGATAAATGTGTAGTGTGAATGTTATGCAGAGAAAAGAATGAATAAATTAAAATATGATTTGGTGGTATGAAGGGTATAACTGAAAGAGCATAAGAGGCCATGATAAATTGATTTGTTAATAGGAAAAAAAAAAGAATAATTGTGAAGGTATATACATCTAGGCCAAATGAAGAAATATAAAGGAAAAGTTAGAAGAAGGGTGTGGAGGAGATTTTGAGAGGTAGAAACTTGAGCATCTAGGAAGCATGTGAAGCACAACAGACTGCAGTGAAAGCAAGTTTATATTTATATATTTTTTTGCTGGTGGATTATATGGTAGTATCTTTCATTGGATACAGAGAAACCAGCTAGCCTTATCTAAATAAATTAATTGCAGAAAGATTTCAGGATGAGCAATGGCTGAATGAATAAAAACAAAAACATTGGTAACTCAGTATAACACACGGTAAGCATAAATTTATTCAACGAAAACCTAAGTTCACAATAGGTAGACAAATTCAGTGGTACTTTGGTACTCGAACTTAATTCGTTCCAGAAGGCTGTTCAAGTACCGATCTGTTCGAGTGCCGATTGAATTTTTCCCTCTATTGTGACACAAACCAATTTTCTTTCTGGTTGGCTTTTATCGCTAATCTTCTTAGGCCCTATGGTGACTTATTTATCCAAATAATATAAAAAAAACACCAAAAAATGCGAAGAAACACAAAATCGTTTACAGCAAAGTTCAGAGGAGTTTTAGACTAAGCGACAGCTGCGGGGAGACTGACGCACATTGTTTGGTCGAGTACCAAGCAAAAGGTCGACTATCAAATTGTTTGAGATTGTTCGAGTTGGGAGTTGTTCGAGTTCCGAGGTACTACCATATTTGCTGCTACTCCACTGAAATACTCAATGCATTTTATGTTTTATCTTTAAAACATTGCCTAGGATCTCAGCATGGATTTCAAACTAAGAGTCCTCTTGGACCTCTTTGTCATAAAGACTGAAACGCATTTAATATACTTTCGATAAGTTTCAAGAGTTTCCCTTCTCTCGGAGCCCGGCCATGGGCCAGACTCATTTAGTGCTTGCCTGGTCAACCAGCCTGTTGCTGCTGGAGGCTCGCTGCCCCACATATCCATCACAGCCTGGTTGATCTGGCACCTGGTGAAGGTACTTGTCCAGTTTTCTCTTGAAGATTTCTACACTTGTTTCAGCTGTGTTTCTGATATCTTCTGGTAAGATGTTGAATAGTCTGGGGTCATGAACGTTCCCTTATTGTGCCCACCGCACCCTTGCTCCTCACCGAGTTTATTTTGCAGTTCCTCCCATATCTCTCACTCTAGAATGCTGTTATGGTAGTATGCAGATTTCGGGCCAGGCCCTCGAGTACTTCCCAGGTATATATTATCATGTATCTCTCTCTCCTCTGCTCCAGTGAGTACATGTTCAAAACTTTAAAGCATTCCCAGTAATTTAAATGCTTTACTGGCTTTATGTGTTCCATAAATGATTTCTGTATATGTTCCAGCTCTGATATTTCACCTGCCTTGAATGGGGCCATCAGCACTGAGCAATATTCCAAATGAGGGAGCAATAGCAATTTGAAGAGTGTCACCACTGGCATTATTTCCCTTGTTTTGAAAGTTCTCAATACCCACCCTGTCATCCTCCTGGCTATCGTGATCTTTGTCTTATTATGTTCTTTGAAAGAAAGGTCAGCTGACATAATTATTCCCAAGTCTATTACGTGTTCCTTTCATTCTATTTGGTGATTTTGAGTATGAACAAAGGACCCTTAGATATAAATAAAAAAAAATTAACACGTCGGCCGTTTCCTAAGAGAGAAAAAAACTTTCATTCAGCACTTTCACCATCATTCATACATAATCACTGTCTTTGCAGAGGCTCTCAGATACAACAGTTTAAATCTTCTTTCAACAAACCGGCCGTATCCCACCAAGGCAGGGTAGCCCAAAAAGAAAAACAAAAGTTTCTCTTTTTAACTTTAGTAATGTATACAGGAGAAGGGATTACGAGCCCCTTGCTCCCGGCATTTTAGTCGCCTCTTACAACACGCATGGCTTACGGAGGAAGAACTCTGTTCCGCCTCCTCCAAATTGCCAATATCCCAAACCCTTCCTTTAAAGTGCAAGTATTGTACTTCTCATTTCCAGGACTCAAGTCTGGCTAACCAGACAAAATTCAGAATAGAAAGGAAGATAGTGTTTGATCTGGTGACCATCAGGTTTCCAGTGGTGGATCTAACATTGTGGTTGTGTACCTTCAAATAAAATTACAATACATAAATGTATACAGCATGTGAGAGGTTTCTGTAATGTAAAAATTGAATATTAAGTCTAATGAACTTCAAAGAAATCATGCAGAAAGAGATATGTAATGACCACATGAAAGACAATATTTGTAATGCTCACAGCAGTGAAACAAATAAAAAACATAAAAATTAGATTTTTTACAAATATACTGGTAATTAATCTACTTCTACAAGTGTTCTTAAAATATATGAGGCATTTTTAAGCAAACTTTGTTCAATCTTAAAATACTCACCTGACAAGTGGCCAACAAAAGATGCCTTGGGAACAATAATTTGTATAATAATAAGTTCTGCCCAAACTGCATACTTTGCTGGTACCACAAATCCATGTACATAATGAGTTGCACCACTTTCAAAGAATGTTGTTAATACTTTCAGTGCAAAGAGTACACCTAAAACAAAACAAAAAAAAAATGAGTATGAACAAAGGACCCTGAGATATAAATAAAATGACAATACTGTACATAAATGTATACAGTATATGAGAGGTTTCTGTAATGTAAAAATTGTAGTTGGAAAACAGAGTATATGGAAGAAAAAAGCAAGGTTAAAAGAATGGTGAGGGAGTGCAAATGAAGTCAATAAGAGAATGGGAAAGTCTATTAGCAAATTTTGCTGAAAATAAACTGTTTTGAAGAGAGATCAATATCGTGAGGAAGCAAGAGTGTAAATGTACTTAGCAGTTAAGAACAAGAAGAGAGTTGTTTGAGTTGAAGGAGGAGGTACTGGAAAGATGATGAAGGCATTTTGAAGAGTTGGTGAATGTTAGTGATGAAGGAGAAGCTGTGATTTCATGCATGGGACAGGGAGGAATAACATTGTTTAAGAGTGAGGAGGAGCCTCAGGTGGATGCGGGAAAAGTGTGAGGCAGTGAGTGGAATGAAAGGGTGTAAAGCATCTGGGAAAGATGAGGTTAAGACACAGATGGTAGAAACAGGTGGAATACAGTGTTGGAGTGGTTGGTGTATTTGTTCAATATATGCATGAAAGAAGGGAAGGTACCAAAGGATCAGCAGAGAGCATATACATAACTCCCTTGTATAAGTGAAAAGAGGACAAGAAAGATAATGTAAGAATTTTAAGGGATAAGACTGCTGAGTATAACAGGTAAAGCTTATAGTACAGTGCCTGCACTCTGAAAGAGGGTTGGAGATATTTGCAGTTTGGAGGGACATCTGAATTGTTGTATCAGCACTCCTCTGGCAAGACAATGAAGTAGTGAATGATGGTGACAGTGGTTCTTTTTCAGGTCACCTAGCTTTGGTGGGAGATGGACAGTTAAAAAAAAAATTATTGTAAAATGTTTAATATTATCGAGATTTATGATAAATCAAATTACATTATACTACAGAACCATTAAAATAGTTCTGCTACAAGACATACTGTCATTGGCTGATAAAAATTACTATCATATGAGTACAGTAGTATTATTTCCAGCTAATCAGAGTTAGGATGGCTAGATTATCATGTTAGAATTACCTATTGTCAAGTTACTAATGCTTTTAATGTAACAAAACATTATGTCACCCAATGCAAAATTGATATTACACTAATCATTATTGAATAGGTTTTTCTCAAATGGAGGCTTGGAGTTGTGTGTAAATCAGTTTTTATAATGTCACATAGTAACTCTAAAACCTTTTCAAGGAGGGTCCCCTTCTGGCATGCACCATTGCAGAGGAGCAATTCAGGGAAGGTACCTGACTGAGGACCAAGGTACCAGTGAGTCCTCTCTGAAATGTGAGTAAGCTTAAAATATTTCAGCACGTTTTCCACAACAGTACATAGATACACAGTAGCACTGAGGTGAACATTATCAAACTCACAGCTATAGTTGGCTGCCATTGGGGTTTATGCTGTGTTTTGAGGCAATTTCTTCCTTTTATACTGACCATACTATATTCATATACGTACTGTACTGTACTCTTAATTGGTCACTAATCAGGAAATGCAAAATCTCACCTGAAAATCCAATGGCACACTGCCTCATATATGAATAGGTGTCCAATGCTTCTGCAGCTACCCAGGCAAGGCCAACATACGTCAAACTTGTTGCTAATGTGAAAATTACTAAAAGAATGAAGAATTTCAAAGAACCAAATCTGAAATTATAAAAAATGTGAATATGATTAACTTACATAAATCAACCATTAACAGATACATATAAGAGTAATATACAGTATTTATAATCTATTAATAATATTAATGACAAATCAAAGGTATTCAATACAGAAAAAAAAAGAAAAAGGGAAATAACTTACATAATTCTTACCTTCTCTCTAGTGACTGACCCTTAAGAATTAAGGATGCCATATTATAATAGAGATGTATATCATCAGCATGTTCAATAGCAGACAAGATAAGTCTGCGATAATCTTTATAATATAAGATGGATTCTCCACTAAGACAGACATCATACCTATCCCATGGAGGATTTATAATTCCTAGGAAAAGAAGTGTCTGAAAAAATAATTATAATATAAATATGTATTAAAAAATAAATTGTAAATCACCTGCAATTGTACAAAGAATGATTAGAAACACTAATGTAAGAGAGTTTGTTGACAGGAGTATAAAAAAAGAGACATAACCATATATCATGGAATTTGTCATAAATTTATATACCATACAAAGGATTTCAAAAGCACCATCAACAGAACAAGTCATAACTATAAACTGAGAATAATATTTCTGTACAAAGTGTTAGTCTGCTAGACTAATAATAACAACAGTTGGAGGGGCGGGGATAATTTGCAATTTTGAACTGTAGTATTGGCATGCCTCTGGCAAGACCAAAACGCAGATGTGATTTACACAGATTTTGCAAAAGCATTTGACAAATGTGATCATGGAGTGATAGTTCACAAAATGAGGGCCATAGGCATTATGGGGAAGGTAGGCAGATGGATTTTAAGGTTCCTAACACACACAACACAAAAAGTAGTAGTAGTAGTAAACAAAGCAAAATCCAGCATCAGCAATGTAAAAAGCTCAGTTCTCAGGGCACTGTACTGGCACCTTTGCTGTTTTTCATCCTCATAGTAGACATAGATAAAAACACCTATCACAGTTTTGTATCATCATTTGCAGATGACATTAAAATAAGCATGAAAGTCACTATGGTAGAAGACAGAAAAATTACAGGAAGACATAAGCAGGGTTTTCTAGTGAGCAGTGGAAAACAACAAGACATTCAATGGTGATAAGTTCCAACTGCTTAGGTACTGAAAGAAAAAAGAACTCAAAAGGAACACTGTATACAGAACTTAAGAGGATCACCAAATAGAATGCAAGGAACACATAAAAAATTTGGGAATAATTATGTCAGCTGACCTTTCTTTCAAAGAACATAACAAGACAAAGATCACAACATCCTGGAGGATGACGGGGTGAATATTAAGAATTTTTAAAACAAGGGAAATAATGCCAATGGTGACACTCTTCAAATTGCTATTGCTCCTTCATTTGGAATATTGCTCAGAGCTGATAGCTCTATTCAAAGCAGGAGAAATATCAGAGCTGAAAAAATTACAGAGATCATTTATGGCACACAGAGCCAGTAAAGCGCTTAAATTACTGGGAATGCCTTAATCTTAAACATGTACTCACTGAAGCAGACAGAGATACACATGATAATATATACACTACCTGGAATATACTCAAAGGCCTGGCTCCAAACCTGAACATCTGCCATAACAACATACTGGAGTGAGAGAAATGGGAGAGAGTGTAAAATAAACCCAGTGAGGAGCAGGGGTGCAGTGGACACAATAAGGGAACACTGTATCAACATTCGTGGCCCTAGACTATTCAACACCTTACCAGAAGATATCAGAAACACAGTTGGAACAAGTGTAAAAGCCTTCAAGAGGAAACAGGACAAGTATCTTCACAAAGTGTCAGATCAACCAGGCCTCCAGCAGCAACAGCTTGGTTGACCAGGCAAGTACCAGAAGAGCCTGGCCCATGGCCAGGCTCCAAGAGTAGTGAGACTCTCAAATCTCATCAAAGTATGTTTCTTCTTTTTCTGGTCACTCTGCCTTGGTGGGAGATGGCCAGTGTGTTAAAAATATATATAAAAAATAAACAAATATTAATAAGCAAATACGTAATTAAAAAACAAAAATAATTATTACTGCATTGCTGTGTTTTGTCCAAAGTTCTCTCAACATATTGTAAATTAGTAGTGAACTGCTGCAGAATTCTTCCAAGGAAACTACAATGGGATGACAGCATCTTTGGTGAAACACATAATGTACTTAACATTTCAAGTACGTACTTATGATTGTAAGATAAGATATTTATTTCAGCATGACATAATGTTTGTACAGAGGTGAATGACATTTAGGTGTGCATGCAAAAAGTCCCTTAATATGCAGAGCATTTCGGGCAAACTTAAGACTAACTTAAGATAAATAGAGTAATGACAAATTGAGTTGTTTTACCGAGTCTCTTAGATGGTTGTAAATATAAATTTAGGAGTTACAAAGAATACAAGAGAACTAAATATCCTATTAGTACATGCTATATGGCTTTAATCAAGTTAGATTGTTTAAAGAATTACAGAACTGATTATGATTATATTAGGTAGTGAGGATTCTAGCAGAATAACATAATGTACAAGGTTATTATAAAAATTAACATATAAATGATACTATAGTACAGTGCTACATAAATTTGTGTAATTATACCATAGTACAGTGATATGTAAATTTGTGTAAGATTAAAATTTTGTCACTCTTATACCTGAAAGGCTCATATATAACTGGCACAGCAGTCTGTGCACAATTACATTCGATACAAGGTTTTAATAAATATATTTTTTATAGTGATCTACAGTGTGCTCTCGCTTTAGTGGACCTCGCTTAATGGAAATCAGAAATACAGTGGAACCTCAGGTTATAAATTTAATCCATTCAGTGAACTTGTTCGTATCCTGATTTGTTCGTATGTTGGGTCATTTTTCCCTATTTAAATTAATTGAAATGCAATTAATTCGTTCCAACTGAATTCCTGCTCTCAGGAGGCATGACAAAATAACCCTAATATCAACTTTACAACTGATTTATCTGTCACAATTCATCTAATATGACATAATAAATAAAATAAATAACATAGAAACCTGATACACACTCTAGAATGAATAAAATATGTCATTACATGGACGGCGGAGGGAGGAGGATTGTGGTCAGGAGTGGTCGCGCATTCTCGCTATGAAAACGTCAAGGGTGTTACATTATTATTATTATTAATTTAGGGACCTGGAGCACAGATCCAATTCCCTAGATCAAGAGTTCCTCACCACATACGTACTACTACTACTACTAATAATAATAATAATACAGTGGACCCCCGCATAACGATATTATTTCAATTCAGAAGTCTGTTTGGGTGCCGTTATAGACCGAATTTGTTCTCATAAGAAATATTGTGAATTATATTAGTCCGCTTCAGACCCCCAAAAATACACCTACAAAAGCACTTACAAAAATACACTTACATAATTGGTCTAGTTGGGAGCTGATCATTACGTGGGGGTCCACTGCAATAATAATAATAATCACTATTATTATAACAATAATAGTAATAATAATACAATATAATAGTAATAATAATAACAGTAAGGAGAAACTTCAAAAAGGCTGCCAGTAGTTGGCACCACCATCAGCAAAACATTGGTAACCACTACTAGTACACTTTTCACCTGTCTAGACTTAAGTAGTCTTAAGTAGGCATTTCTGCCCAAAATACCTAGGCATGATAGTGGCTTTCTTGGCTCCAATCATATTATGATATGTAAACACACACTGTAACCTTTGCAAAGAAATACAGTTATTTATTTATTTATTTATTTAACCCTTTGAGGGTCGACAGGCTCTCTCCGAGACTTATTCTCAGGGTCAGCCAAATTTAAAAAAAAGAAATATTTTTTGTTATGAAAAGATAAGAGAATCTTTTCCCGATCATAAGGACACCAAAAGTATGAAATTTGATGGAAAACTTACGGAATTATGCTCTCACGAAGTTAGCGGTCTTGACGATGTTTACGCATTGGCGATTTTGCCCACTTTGAGCCCTATTTTCGGCCAATTCCAGTGTACTAGTCAACAAAAATCATAACTATTTCTCTAGAACTCCATTTTTTCTATTGATTGAGTACAAGAAACCACCCATTTACTGATTTCAACTATCCAATACAGTGGTCAGAATTTAGTAATTTTGCCAATTTCATACAAATTTCAAAATATGTCAATTTCCAAATAGGGTCCAGAATAAACAAGAAAGACATTCCTGGCACTAAAATAACATTTCCTCTGTTCGTTAGTCACATCCCCAGGCCCCTCTTATATTTCTTTGGCTTTCCACTTTCAATTTTTATTCTTACAAAAAATAGAAGATTTACTGTTATGCAGACTGCTGCATTAGTGTAGAAATGATATAAATAATATCAGCACACTTGTGAAAGAATATTTGACTCACCAGTTGACGTGTATTGGACGCTTGGCATGATTTGTTTATTTTTGAACTTTGGTAAAAATAGAACATTTCTGCTACTTTGAGCTCAATTTCAAGGTACCTTTCATTGTAAAACCAGTCAAAATCATCTCAATTTCTGTAATGTCTTCCATTCTATAAAATGAGACCAAGAAAACTAGAATACAACAATAAATACTATACGAAAATACAGTGCAAAGTCGCTGTTCTATTCCAAAAACACGGTCAAAGTTTTTTTTCTCATTATGCACTGTGTGCTGCAGGATTATTTTTATACTGCGCACACTGACCACACAGACCCATTCTTTCATATGTATGCCTACCAGCTTTCTCCCACTAGATTTGAGGGCACTAGAATTTAGGCGTACTAGTACGTCAAAAACCCTGGGTCGTAAGCCGTACTAGTACGGCCGAAACCCTCAAAAGGTTAAGAAACCTCCCTTGAGGGGGAAGTTCACATCCTGAAATTTCTTTCGTATCCTGAAGCTAAAGATCGACCGAATGATGATTCGTATCCTGAAAAATTCGCATGGTGGGGCATTCATAACCCAAGGTTCCACTGTACTGGATAAAATCTGGATTAGTTAATTCTTAAACAACAGAGTACATTAGTTAAACAATTGTTCATTATTGTTATGATCATGACAAAACAATTTCATCCGTATTCACAGTCATCATTACGAGCCACTTGCTCCTACCTATTAGCCTGTTAACCCTTTGAGGGTTTCGGACGTACTAGTAAGGCTTACGACCCAGGGTTTTTGACGTACTAGTACGCCTAAATTCTAGCGCCCTCAAATCTAGTGGGAGAAAGCTGGTAGGCCTTCATATGAAAGAATGGGTCTATGTGGTCAGTGTGCACAGTCTAAAAAAAATCCTGCAGCACACAGTGCATAATGAGAAAAAAAAACTGACCGTTTTTTTGGAATAAAACAGTGACTTTGCACTGTATTTTCGTATGGTATTTATTATTGTATTCTAGTTTTCTTAGTCTCATTTTATAGAATGGAAGACATATTACAGAAATTGAGGTGATTTTGACTGGTTTTACAATGAAAGGTACCTTGAAATTGAGCTCAAAGTAGCAGAAATGTTCGATTTTTACCAAATTTCAAAAGTAAACAAATCGTGCCAAGCGTCCAATACACGTCAACTGGTGAGTCTAATATTCTTTCACAAGTGCGCCAATAATATTTATACCATTTTTTACACTAATGCAGTAGACTGCATAATAGTAAATCTTATATTTTTTGTGAGAATAAAAATTCAAAGTGGAAAGCAAAAGAATATAAGAGGGGCCTTGAGACGTGACTAATGACCAGAGGAAATATCATTTTAGTGCCAGGAATGTCTTTCTTGTTTATTCTGGACCCTATTCGGAAACTGGCATCTTTTGAAATTTGTGTGAAATTGGCAAAATTGCTAAATTCTGACCACTGTACTGGATAGTTGAATTTCATAAATGGGTGGTTTCTCGCACCCATTCGATAGAAAAAATGGAGTTCTAGCGAAATATTCAAGTTTTTTGTCGACTAGTACAGTGGAATTGGCCGAAAATGGGGCTCAAGGTGGGCAAAATCGCTGATGCGTAAACATCGCCGAGACCGCTAACTTCGCGAGAGCATAATTCCGTAAGTTTTCCATCAAATTTCAAACTTTTGGTGTCCTTATGATCGAGAAAAGATTCTCTATCTTTTCGTAAGAGAAAATTATTTTTTTTTTTAAATTTGGCCGACCCTGAGAACGAGTTTCGGAGGGCCTGTCGACCCTCAAAGGGTTAAATCAGGGGGTTTTCATTGTACATTATTAATAAAATCATAATCTCACCTGGCCAACAATGGCAAGCAGTGTAACAGGAGGTAAGGTATCCATGCCAACATTGTAAAGTTTGTGGGCAAGGAGCAGCATTCCCATTCCCACTACTGGGCGTCGCTCTCGAGCCATCTTCAACTTTGAATCGTAGTCTGTGTATATTTTTCTGAAGAATATATCTAATATCAGAATTCAAACTATAATTTTTTAAATATTAGCTAAAAGTTAAAACAAATACAGATTCATTATTTTGATCATAAAAACTGAGAGATTATTTGGATTCAACAATAATTTAATTTTCAACAGCTATTACAGTACAGTTGAGCATATAAGTTTTTATTTACAATCTTTAACATATAAGATAATAAATTTCTATATAGTACATATGACTAACCATACAATAAAACTGTTACATACACTGCCATCAATCAACAGTGCTAAAAAAAAGGAAAGGGTAAATGCTAACAGGAGTACGGTTACAATATAAATGGATACGTATAAGAAGAGTAAGTGTGAAGGACAATGTGAGTTATGAGGTGCACTGTGACCTGTGAAATCATTCATTGAGCTCGAGTACAGTTAGGAGATAGAACTACTATAATGCGGGATTAAAAAACAAAGACTTTGATACAAAGTGGGAGTTATCATGGTTGGTCTCTGCCAAAAACATAGTTCTTCTGGGGAATTCTAAATGAAGTTGCAAAGGTTGGTTTATGAACTTGGGAGGCTATGTAAAAGGAGGAAATCAAAAGCAAATATAGAAAAAGCATGGTGATGAAATTAACAAAAAAAAAAAAAAGTCTAGGTAATAAAAGATTTAATATTAGTGTAGAGAGGGAGTATCAGGGAAATAGATGTACAGTGGTCCCTCGATAATCGTAGGGCTCGAGAGTCGTAGATTTCGGAAATCATAGCGATATTTTCATATTAACATGGGCTCGCTAATCGTAGATTGACTTGCGAATAGTAGTTCGTCCGGGATGCGTACGCACGCTGCGAGCCGGGGCGGCCTCCCTTCCCAGCCAGTGTGGCATTGTTTACCAGTGAGCAACGGTCCCCTCACTTGCTCCTACGAAATATTTCATAATATTCCATTCATTTTAGTGCTTGCAAGTACTAAATAAGCTACTATGGCTCCAAAGAAAGCTCCTAGTGCCAAGCCTTTGGTAAAGAAGGTGAGAAATACGATTGAATTTAAGAAAAACATCATTGAACAATATGAAAGTGGCTTAAGTGCGGCCAAACTGGCCAGGATGTATAACAAACCCTATACAACCATATGTCCCATCGTGGCCAAGAAAAAGGAAATCAAGGACGCTGTTGTTGCAAAGAGGGTAAATATGCTGACAAAAATGAGATCACCAGTACTCGAAGAGGTTGAGAAGTTATTATTGGTGTGGATAAATGAGAAACAATTAGCAGGAGATAGTATTATAACGGCGATTATTTGGGGAAAAGGCTGGGAGTTCCCACGACATCGGGTAAAAAAATTTGGGCCTGAAACTTGTGGTGATGTGAGTAAATTTTTAAAGGCCGAAAAGGGTTTGGTTTGGGGAGTTTTTTAAAACCGTAGTGGAAATACCATGTGGAAAGGGGCATGGTGGGCTGCCATTTTCGGACCCCAAAGCAGCTGAAAAATATGTGCAAGAATTAAAAGGAGTACATAGAGGCTAAAGGGGACTGAAACCGAAAAAAGTGTTCAATTGGGGCCCAAAAACCCGGCCCTTTTTGGAAAAAAAATGCCAAAGAGACCTAAAATTACACGGGAGGAAAAGGCACTCCCCGGCCAAAAGCCTATGAAAGACGGGGCTGACGCTCATGTTTCTGTGCTAAGCTAGGGGGGAAATTCAAAGTGAAGCTTTTTAACTAGTGTACCATTTTTTGAAATCCCAGGGGTTTTAAAGGGAAAAAACAATGTTATGAAGATAAAAAGGGTGTTTTTTTGGAAAATCTAATAAAAAGGAAATGGGTCACGAGGGACATTTTCATCGAAGGGGTTTCCCCCCTTTCCAAAAAAGTAATTCAATTTCTCTTCCTCCCCAGCCCTTCCATACACTAAAAAAGAATTCCCCAAAAAAGGGAAAAAATTGATTTGAAAATCATAGTTTTCCCGAAAATTTAGAAAGCACCTCCAGGAACGGATTAAAAATACAATAAACAGGGCCCACTGTATTTAGTTTTTTTGGGGGGAGTTGATATTTTCAGCAAGAGGTTATAAAAAAATTGGGGGTAAACCATAAAACTGATGGGGGGAAAAAACTTGGTGGTGTAAACAAAAATATCTGGGGAAAATTTTAAACACCGGGAAGAAAAAAAAAAAAAAAAAAAAGAATGCCCCCAGAGTATATGGGGGGTACAAAACACTTTAGGGGTACGATCCAGGGGTTTCGGGAACACCCCAGCAAACGATGAGGTGCCTGGTGGGAAAAATTCGTTTGAGATCAATGGTAATATTATGCGGGAAAAAGTGAGAGCTAAAATTTTTAAAAAGGCCCAAGTAAGGTTCCCAAAAAGTATCAAAGGGGATGGGGAGGGATTGTGAGGGGTTTGGGGCATTTTGAGAGGACGGAGGGTACGTTGAAAAAAAAAAGGTTTGTAAAAATTTGGGGAAGTAAAAACCCGGGAAGGGTTTAAGAGGGAGGTGGTATAGGTTGGGGAATGGTAGGGGCCCCCTTGGGAGAAAGATTGTTTTGGGGGCCCCCCAAAACCCTCTGAAGGTGAAAACTTTTGAATATCAAAATTTGGAGGGTTTTCCCAAACTGTGATGTTAGTAAAAACCTTTTTAAAATGATAGTCAATAAAATGAATGATAGAGATTTTTTTTTTCAGGTGGGGGGGCCCTACCTTGGTGGGGGCCCCCAATGAGGTAAAAAAAAAAAAAAAACATTTGTATAAAACATTAAAAAAAATACAAACACACACAAAAAATATAAATATATTATATATTATATATAAATATAAAATATAAAAATATAAAAATAAAAATATATATATATTTAAAAATATATATAAAATATAAAAAACCCAAAAAAAACCCCAAAAAAAAAATTCCCCAAAACCCGTAAGTTTTTTTTACAAAAGTGGGGCCTAAAAATTTATATGTAAAAACAAATTTTTTCCCAAAAAAGTACCCCTTTAGACAAGGAGGTAAAGCCCCGGTTTTTTTCAAAAAAAGATTTTTTTTTAAAGGAAAAGCGGGGCTTCCCCAAAGGCGGGATTTAAAAAAAAAAACACCCCCCCCAAAGTGGGGAATGCCCCCACTGCCTTTGTTTAAGACACTGTGCCTTGGGAGATTCAAAGAGAATTTGCAGAGTTTGGTGGAAAATAAAATTTGGTTTTTTGGGGTGTGAAAAAGAAAAAAATTAAAGGTGAATACAGGAAAAAAGAAAGGGGTTTATGGGATAACAAAAAAAATTAGGTGATGAAAATTGAATAAGTTTGGGGGGAGAGAGTATGGAGGGGGGGAAAAAAATTCGATTTTTTGGGGAGGGGACCTGTCAGGGGGGGGCTATGAAAAAAGAGGTAATCAAAGAATTGATGAGGGAAAAAAAAAGTAAAGGGGTTTGCCTTAGGAGTTTTTGGGAGAAAAAAGAAACTTTTTTCCTTGGAGGAAAAAGAGGGGAATTTTATGAAAAGTAAATTTTTAAAACCAACGCTTTAAAAGGGGGTGTAAAAGCGTGGGTGATGAATGTTCCCAGCGAGGAAAAGGCTGGAGGCATTTGGGAGTTTGTAAAGCCCTTGAGGGCAATTTGGGGGTAAATAAAAATGCAAAAAATTTCCAAAAATTTTGGGAAAAGTTGGGAAAGGAGGTGGGGGTTTTCCAAAACGTTGTCCAGGGGGCTGGGAAGGGTTGTTGAGGTGGTTCGGACATGTAGGGGGAGAATGGACAAAAACGAATGAACTTCAAAGTGTATAAATTCTGAAGGGAAAAAGGGCGGGGGGGGGGTGGGCCGGGAAGGGGTTGGAAAGGGAGGGGAAAAAAGGGGAGGTTTGGGGTGCGAGGGGCGGGATTTCCCGACGGCATGGTGAGCGTGTTTGAAAGGAGTGAATGGAGAAAAAAGGGTTTTTTAATACTTACGGCTTTTGGGAGGTGAGCAAAGTAACATTTTTTAAAGGGGGTTTCCCGGGGAAACCGGCAGGCCGGACTTGAGTCCGGAGAGGGGGGGTACGTGCCGCACTCTTTAAGGAGGGGTGTTTAAAGTTGCAGTTTAAAAACTGTTAAATGTAAAAAACAAACCCCTTTTGGGAAGACAGTGATGGAGTGGGAAAGATGGTGAAAGTTTTTTTTTTCGGGCCACCCCGCCTTGGGGGGAAACCCGGGCCCGGGGTGAAAAAAAAAAAAAAAAAAAAAAAAAAAATATATATATATATATTATATATATATAAATATATAAAATAATTTTAAAATATATATATATAAATATATATTATAAAAAATAAAAAATTTTAAAAAATATATATATATAAATATTAAAATTAAATATATTAAAAATGCAATAAGGCACAGTAAAAAAGGTTTTTCAAATTCCAAAAAAAACAAAAAAGGGGAAATTTTTTCTATTCTTTCACATGGTTGTTTTTTCATATATAAAATATATTTAAACAAAAAAAAAAAGCCTAAACCTACAAGGGTCCCAAAATACAATCCCAAAAATAAGTGTTAAAAACCCCCCTGGTCCAAAAGTTTTAATTTGTGAAGTTTTCCCCCCCAGTGGCTCTTTTAAAACTAAACCCCGAATAAAAAAAAGGAGATTTTCTAGGTTTAAAAGGGCAAAAGTGGGAACTAACGTGAAATTTTTTTTTGTGGGCCCGCGTTTTTGCTCTCCAGGGGGTTTTTTCAAAACCTCACATTAACTGCACTTAGTGTCCTTTTACCAAACATTTTTGGGAATTTTACCAACGCTAATACCCCTTTATAAGCTGTTGAAGAGACCTGTTGAAATCAACCTACCCCAGTGTGCTCTTTATGTGCTATTAACACCTGTGTCATGTAAGCCACTGTAAAAATAAGTGTGTTGTATGTACGCAAAATCTAAATAAAAACAAACACAGTACTTATTGGACAATGTTGAATAAACAGTAAAAGTTACCTAAACAGTGCGTGTATGTAGTGATAATGGCTAAAAACTATGGATAAATCTGTCATTTATGGAGAGGCCTGCTGGAAGATTATTATTATTATAATCAAAAAGAAGCGCTAAGCCACAGCCTGCTGGAAGAGCTACGAGACGTGGGCACTACCAACACCATTGTTCAAGTCTTGGAATCTCATCTACTGTGTATGTCTTCTGTTTGTTGACATGTCTGGCCATAATGTTTTTTTTTCCCTCCTGAACGGCATCACAAATCCACCCACCGATTTTCATTAAGTAAGTTTATTCAGGTATACACAAATACAGTTACATAGAATTATCATACATAGCAGCATATGTGTAGAGAACCTAGGATAACCCAAAAAAGTCAGAGTGACTTACTTCTGTTGAGGTCCTTTATATTTGTGGAAAATTTTTTGATTTTCCGAAACTATAGTGCCTAATAGGTGTTTAATGTGTCTATATGGGTCAAAAATGTATTTGAAAATAAGAGTAGAACCAAGAGTTCCCTTTGCGCATGCGCGGATGTGCGGGGGGGTGGGCGCGTATTGTTTTGAATGGTGGTGAGGAAGCTGAGAAAACATGGAACCACGAAATTGACGTTCACGGTGGCCTAAGGATTAATATAGGCCTCATTTCATAATAAGAAGTGTCGTAATTGTTCCTGGTGGAGAGTGAGGGAACGGGATTTACGGGACCACAGTAATAGAATGGTAAAAGTGTGATAAGAGGAAGGGCGGGTGACTGACGCGCCACAATGGACTGTGCCCGGGGGAAAATTACCCTTGGATTAATCATCACTCATCGGTCTCAGATTTTAAATTTGGAGTGACCTCTAATTTGTATAATAGTTTTTGAGACGTTAAATCGGCTTGTGAATTGTAATGTAATTAATGATAATAACGCTAAGTTAAGAGAATATGTGAAGTGAAATAAGTCGTTTGCTCCGAGTGAACACGCTAGACCTCGTTGTTAACGAGACGGGGAAAAGGGGAAACTCCTTGAGTCACGACGTCTAAACCCAGGAAAAAACCAGCGGATACCTCGTCCTGCTGGAATGAGAATCGGTTTTCGGTGTAGCAGGACATCGAAAAATGAGATGGTGAATCAAGAAATGAGGAATATCAATCACCCACAGTTAAGTAACCCTTTCTAGTTATAGCAACCTTAGACTGGCCAGTAGTGGTATGTTATAATTAGATAGGTTACGAGTGACCAGCTACATCAAGTGACCACCAAGAACATCGGTAAGTATTTGGGATTATGTACAAATGTTTTCCTTGACGGATGTATCCATGTGTGTCCTACCCCCCCCCTTCATTCAGTTAAACTAATATAATCTATACAGCCCAAACAATTAATTAGTAGCACCGTACTTGTGGGTGCTACCCCAATCCATACTGGTCTCGGATAGTTTATGGATAAGATTTGTGAGGTCGAGGGGACCATTTTGGTGCGACCGGGGGTGGTTAAGTTTTTCTCACATGTCTACACGGGGTGACTACGGTAAACAATATGATTGTCTCCCAATGAGTTTTACTGGTATGTATATAAATGTTGAGGTACATACAGGTAAGCACCCCTAGAAAATTTTCCATATCTGCCCGTTGGTCCTTCGAACCGGATGCAATCAGTGAAAAAATTAATTGAATTAATTACTTATAATTAATTGACTGATTGAAGGAAGTGGGTGTGGGGTGAAACAAGTTTAATCGATCGTGTGATGGATGACAATTAGCCCAATTAATTGCTAGCACATGTGTGGCTAGGATTTATAAAAGAGTAAAGTGCAAGAATTACTCTTATAAGGCGCCTACTTAAGTTGTATAATCATGATTAATAATTCTCTAACCATGACGGATCTAATGGAGTTAATTGGCTGACAAGCCCGTGAATTTTAGAGAAATGAAAGCACCCAATTACAGGCTATTAAAAGCCATGTGACCGAAGGCATTTGATTTGTGAATCAAAAACCGTGAACCCTAATGAATTAAAGTTATATTTAGTGCTTTAGAGAGTAGATTTGATTGGTAAAAAATTGTGGTTTAAAGACTGTGAAAGAGATCTGCTAGAAAAATTGTGCAGATGGAATGGAAATGAATGTTTTAATTAATCAACATTACGAATTGGAAAAAAAAACTGTCTTGTAAAAGTAAGGCTTTGAATAAATTAAAGGGTGTAAGCCAGGCAGTTGATCAACCTATTAATGCAAAGGGTGTGTTTGCCAAAACCTCCGTAGTACGGTCCTGGAGGAAATCAGACTAGGTCGGCAGGAATTAATTGTTCAATTGCAGACCAGTCACCCAAACATTCTAAGGATATAACACATAATGACTCTGAAGTATCTGTCAAGCCTAAAAAGGGAAAAATAATCCCAGTGGTAATAATCATAGTTAAGAGTTAAATAGGCACAATCAAGTCAGGAATCAGTAATAGTGGTTCCTCACATCAAGTAAGAGGAAAAAAGTACCTCAGTAAGTGTAACCCAGTTAATAAGAGGTCAGGCAAGGAAAAGAGAGACTGCCTCTTTGCCAGGGTACTCATTTCACTAAAAATTGTAATGCCTGTAATCCATGGGATATTAAAGTGGAAAGAATGAAAGAACTGACAGATTTATCAGATGTCTAGACAATCATAATGTAAAGGATTGTCATACCAAATTGAACAGTTGCATCAATGCAACAAGGGAAAGCACCATACAGTTATGTGCAGGGTTGTATGATGATTCTAATAATAATGGTGACAATAATGATAATGTTAATAACCCTGACACTACAGTGACTGATGTAAAGGTTGCAGCTAATGGCAATAATGATGGCCCTAGCTGAGGTACCCCTTGACGGTTTTGGATGTAAAAATTCAGGATAAAGGGCATAAATCCAAAACCATACGGCGTCACTCTCCTCAACACTGGTACGGGCCATGTAATATATGGCAGACTACCGCCTAGTAATAATGACTAGAGGAAGTAGTGAATACGGCCCACGGTGTCTACTCATGAAAGGTCAACCCAGTACAAGTATTCTTCTATCGAGAATGATGTTGAACCAGTCTAATTTGTGGGAGCTGGACAGCATAGGGATTAATGTAAATGAGGAAAGTCCAAATGTTTCCCCTTTACTCAGGAACAATACCTGAAGGATGTTAAATGTGAATCTGGACATTACTGGGTGCGACTTTCCGTGAAGGGCTTGACCGTCCAGAATTACCTACTAATTATAGGATGGCGTATGGACAGTTAAAGGGCCCAGCTCTGCGAACTGAGCAAAAACACCAAAATTGTTGACTGCTTATAATGATATAATTAATAAGCAGTTAAATAATAAATTGTTTCTTACTTCAGGCGACGATAAAAGCACACCTTAAATGCACAGGCGGTCCACTGAGCAAAGTAATTGGGTAAAAAAATCTTATGTGGACAATTTCCGGGTGTGACGTCAACTGAAGAGGAACTAATGAGGATATGTGAAGGGGTTAATGAAATAATGAAGAAATGTGCTGGGACTGACTTGGGATACGAGAGACTTGTTATTGTTAAAGTCTCAAAAAATTTCCCGTATGCCCAATAAATTAAACCGGGAGCATAGGCTTTTTGCCCCTGAGAGAATGGAACACTAATTAGTCCATTTTGAGGGATCAATAAATACAGATGGCCATGGAGTTGGTGCCTATATGCAGTAATGTGCTGGGGCTGACTTGGGTACTGAGAGACTTGTTTATTTGGGAAAGTCTCAAAATTCCAGTATGCCCAATAACTTAATCCAGGGAGCATAGGCTTATGCCCCTGAGAGAATGGAACACCAATTAGTCCATTTTGAGGGTTCAATAAATTATGGAAAGGCCATGATTGGTGCCTATATGCAGTAATGTGCTGGGGCTGACTTGGGATACTGAGAGACTTGTTATTGGTAAAGTTCAAATCCCAGTATGCCCAATAACTTAATCCAGGGAGCAATAGGCTTAAAGCCCCTGAAGAATGGAACACCAATTAGTCCATTTTGAGAGTTCAAAAAATATGGGGGCCAGTGAAGATGGGAAAATTGTACCCACATTATGTAAGTCGTCTAGCAACGACCTCCCCCCGGCCGCAGGTGTGGAAAATTTTTTGATTTTCCGAAACTATAGTGCCTAATAGGTGTTTAATGTGTCTATATGGGTCAAAAATGTATTTGAAAATAAGAGTAGAAAACCAAGAGTTCCCTTTGCGCATGCGCGGATGTGCGGGGGGGTGGGGGCGTATTGTTTGAATGGGGTGAGGAAGCTGAGAAAACATGGACCACGAAATTGACGTCACGGTGGCCTAAGGATTAATATAGGCCTCATTTCATAATAAGAAATGTCGTAATTGTTCCTGGTGGAGAGTGAGGGAAAGGGATTTACGGGGCCACAGTAATAGAGTGGTAAAAGTGTGATAAAAGAAGGAGCGGGTGGGCTGACGCGCCACAATGACTGTGTCCTGGGGAAAATTTCCCTTGGATTAATCATCACTCATCGGTCTCAGATCTTAATGGAGTGACCTCTAATTTGTATAATAGTTATGAGACGTTAAATCGGGTTTGAATTTTAATGTAATTAATTTATAATAACCGCTAAGTTAAGAGAATATGTGAAGTGAAATAAGTCGTTTGCTCCCAGTGAACACGCTAGACCTCGTTGTTAACGAGACGAGGAAAGGGAAACTCCTTGAGTCACGACGTCTAAAAGCAGGACAACCAGCGGTACCTCGTCCTGCTGGAATGAGAATCGTGTCGGTGTAGCAGGACATCGAAAATGAGATGGTGAATCAAGAAATGAGGAATTCAATCACCCACAGTTAAGTAACCCTTCTAGTTATGCAACCTTAGACTGGCCAGTAGTGGTATGTTATAATTAGATAGGTTAGAGTGATCCAGCTACATCAAGTGACCACCAAGAACATCTGGTAAGTAGTGGGGTTATGTACAAAAAGTTTTCCTTGACGGATGTATCCATGTGTGTACCTAACCCCCCCCCCTTCATTCAGTTAAACTAATATAATCTATACAGTCCACAATTAATTAGTAGCACCGTACTTGTGGGTGCTACCCAATCCATACTGGTCTCGGATAGATATGGATAAGATTGTGAGGTCGAGGGGACCCCCTTGGTGCGACCAGGGTGGTTAAGTTTTCTCACATGTCTACACGGGTGACTACGGGAACAATATGATTGTCTCCCAATGAGATTACTGGTATGTATATAATGTTGAGGTACATACAGGTAAGCACCCTAGAAAATTTTCCATAATATTCATTTACTAAGTTTATTCAGGTATATACAATAAGATAAGATAAGAGATAAGTTTCGTTCGGATTTTAAACCCCGGAGGGTTAGCCCACCCAGGATAACCCAAGAAAGTCAGTGCGTCATCGAGGACTGTCTAACTTATTTCCATTGGGGTCCTTAATCTTGTCCCCCAGGATGCGACCCACACCAGTCGACTAACACCCAAGTACCTATTTGCTGCTAGGTGAACAGGACAACAGGTGTAAGGAAACGTGTCGAAATGTTTCCACCCGCCGGGAATCGAACCCGGGCCCTCCGTGTGTGAAGCGGGAGCTTTAGCCACCAGACCACATAGCAGCATATATATAGAGAACCTAGGATAACCCCAAAAAAGTCAGAGTGACTTATTTCCATTGGGGTCCTTTTAATACCTTATTATACAGTGTAGGAGATATCTTATTATTATACTATAAAGGATATACTGGGAATAAGGTAAATAGAGTTATTTACATCTACATGCTTGTTAGCTAATAAAATAAAAAATCATTCTCCCTTTTTGTTGCTACATTCAATAGGTACCTTTTGGCTCTCTTCTTGACCTGGTTCATGCTATGACTGGCTTTACCTGTGCGGGCAGTCTGTTCCATTCCTTTATTGCTGTACAATAAAAGGTGTTTGAAGCCTGGCCACTGACTGTGGGTACTACAAAGTTGTGCTCTCCCCCTAGTACTGTGAGTTCTTCGGTTCCCAACCTTGACAAAATGAGCAGCAAGTTATTCTGGACACTGTTTGTGAGCAGTTTAAAAAACTGATTAACTTCAGTTGTTTTACTCTGTCTTCAGTATTCACTATATCCAATTGTAATTCATCCTGGCCTACATGCTCTCTTGGACCCAGGTCCAGGATGAATCTTACTATTTTGTTCTGGGTGATTTGCAGTTTATCTTTCAGTTTTTTTTTTTTTTTGTCAAGGCAGAGTACCATGAAGAGCAAGCGTAGTCCATATGATACTACATAAGGGCTAGACATAGGGTCCTGCAGCCTCAGTAGGTGGACACGTCTTGTCTATAAAAGGAAATTCAGTCTGGCATTCGCTTTCTTTACTACACTGTTCCCTATCAATTATCCTGACATGCATGGGTCAAAGGGGATTCCCAGGTATTTTACTGAGGAAACTGAAGTGATGGGTTCCCCATTACACTGGACATTAAAATTATTTACCCTTCTCAGTTTGTTTCGTACCAAGAGTATGGCTGCCGTTTTCCCGAGGTGCAACGATAGTTTGTGTCTACGAACCACTTTCTGCAGGACTCCAGTTCTTGTGGGTCTTTACCTGACACTAACAGAACACTCATCCGCATACAGTAGAAGTTTGCACTTGACACTGATGGGCGTATCATTTACATAACAAAAATAATAAGGGACCCAGAATACTACCTTGGGGAACTCCACATGCTATCGGCAAGGTTTTTTTTTCTATTTTGTTGATTTTGACAATTTGTTCCCTATTGTTAAGGTAGGACTTAAACCAGTCTGTGGAACTTATGCCGATAAACTTTAAGTATCTTCATAATATATTTTGGTTGACAGTATCGAAAGCCTTTTGCAAGTCTGTTACCATTCCTATGAGGTTCCCTGTCGACATTTCAGTTCTCATGTAATCCATCAGATTAATTAGGGAGGTGTCGGTTGAGTAATAGCTCCTGAAGCCTGATTGGTAACTATGAAGAATGTTGTTGTCATTAAGGTACTTAATTACTTGACAGTACACCGCCCTCTCTAGAATTTTGAGTATTTTACTGAGTATACTAACAGGCCTATAGTTGCTGACATCAGACCTACTATTTTTCTTGAAGATAGGATTAACTCTGGCCTCCTTAATTCCTTCTGGTACTGTATTAGTGGTTATGGACAAATTTATTTTGTGAGCAATGGGGATTGCCAATTCAGAAGCACCATCTTTTAGGAACTTAGACAGGATGTTATCTGGGCCGGTGCTCTTAGTTGTTTGCTTAGTTGTTTTTGCACGAAGTCATGAGATACACTTACTAGTTGACAACTGTTTGGGGTTACCCCTTTATTGGTATAGTATGTTTTAAACTTATGAGAGTCTGTGTTAAAGGTATTTGATGCAACTTTTACTAACCAAAAAATGTTAACGAATAAAAGACGCACAATACTGTGACTTGAACACTACACAAATTACCCTCAGTTTCTTGACTCGGAAATTTCCACTCTTCGCAACTCGTTCTCTCGCCTTGGTAGGTAAGTACCTAAGTTCATTCAGATATACACAAATGCAGTTATATTGATTATCATACCCATTCTGTTTCATAATATATTTCCAGACTCCCAAATCTTAATGGGTAATATCCCGTTGATTAGCAATTTTGAGATAATGCAACTACCGGGCTTTTGATGGATAGTGCTACTGACAGAAATTAGGGCAGCTTCTGTTCACTTTCGTCGTCTTAAATCGTCTACTTTAATCACTAGTTTAGCCTCAGTGAATTTCATGAGGTGTCCAACATCGTCCCTATGTTGAACACACTTGATTTTACGGTCATCATTGCTGCAAGGATTTTTGTGTCCTCTGATCCTAATGTCTAGAGATCTGGTTGTAATATGGTAACCAGAACTGTGCACCATAATCTATACATATGCTGTTATGCATGATAATTTATGTAACTGTATTTATGTGTACCTGTACCTGAATAAACTTACTTATCTAATAGCTTTGGTTAGGCCTCATTTAGAATATACTGCACAGTTCTGGTCACCGTGTTACTGTATATAGAAAGTCAGGGGCTTTCTTATGTTGTACATGAATGGTATTTATGTACAACATGGTATGCTTTCTATATATTATGCCAATGATATCGGCTAGGTCTATGATAGTTGTACCATGTACTTATAGAAATAAAGATTGTTATTCTTATTATTTTTTATTGTTGTTGTGCAAGGGAAATGCTTCGGAAACAAATCTACCAAACTGTTACACGTGTGTACATGAGTGGGTGGTGTGAGATAAACCTACCTAACCACGGTATAGGCCAGTACCAAGTAGGCCTACAGTAGTGTTACCTCGTTCATGTGTCGTTAGTTTTAGTTTAATATATTATGAACCCCATATCCATCCTATGGGCGGTAGTCAAAAGATTACAGAGGTACATAATGGGTCCAGGGACTGGACCCCAAAAATTTGATAGACGCTGAACAAGTTACAAAGGTAATGAACTCCAGGTAGATCTGGTCACAATCATGACAAGTTACAAAAGTAATGAACTCCAGGTAGATCAGGTCACAATCATGACAAGTTACAAAAATAATGAACTCCAGGTAGATCAGGTCACAATCATGACAAGTTACAAAAATAATGAACTCCAGGTAGATCAGGTCACAATCATGACAAGTTACAAAAGTAATGAACTCCAGGTAGATCAGGTCACAATCATGACAAGTTACAAAATAATGAACTCCAGGTAGATCAGGTCACAATCATGACAAGTTACAAAAATAATGAACTCCAGTAAATCAGGTCACAATCATGACAAGTTACAAAAATAATGAACTCCAGGTAGATCAGGTCACAATCATGACAAGTTACAAAAATAATGAACTCCAGGTAGATCAGGTCACAATCATGACAAGTTACAAAAATAATGAACTCCAGGTAAATCAGGTCACAATCATGACAAGTTACAAAAATAATGAACTCCAGGTAGATCAGGTCACAATCATGACAAGTTACAAAAATAATGAACTCCAGGTAGATCAGGTCACAATCATGACAAGTTACAAAAATAATGAACTCCAGGTAAATCAGGTCACAATCATGACAAGTTATAAAAATAATGAACTCCAGGTAGATCAGGTCACAATCATGACAAGTTACAAAAATAATGAACTCCAGGTAGATCAGGTCACAATCATGACAAGTTACAAAAATAATGAACTCCAGGTAAATCAGGTCACAATCATGACAAGTTACAAAAATAATGAACTCCAGGTAGATCAGGTCACAATCATGACAAGTTACAAAAGTAATGAACTCCAGGTAGATCAGGTCACAATCATGACAAGTTACAAAGGTAATGAACTCCAGGTAGATCAGGTCACAATCATGACAAGTTACAAAAGTAATGAACTCCAGGTAGATCAGGTCACAATCATGGCAAGTTACAAAAATAATGAACCATCTACACATCCATGAATGAAGTTGAGTTTAGCGGTGAGTGACGTCAGGTGGTAGTGTGTGGTGGCGCCGCTAGGTGGCTCTGTCAGATCATGTGATGGGATCGAACTGAGAACAACTGTCACCCTCACCTAACTCAACCCAACACCTTCATTTCTACACTTCATTAAGGTAACTAGGTCTGCCCGTCACTTGGAAGCTCTGCCAGTCTTTTCAGTGCTTTGTAAATTGTTCTTTTAAACGTATTGATTTTTTGTAGTAGAGTTGTATCTGATTTTATATGTAACTGAAATATGTCACTTTTTTTTAATTACCTGGTTTTATGTTTGTGGGAAATCTATAAATTTCATTACCATTACTGAGAGTTAAGTCAGTTTGTACACTAATTAAGGTATAAGTAAAAAGTATAATTATGCCACATTAGTTGCCATTTTACTTTTCATTTATTAAAACAGTTCATCTGAAGCACTTCATTTTTGGGGTAATGTAGGATTATAATTCATATAGAATGTGTAAAGAAGAAAGAAGAAGCTTTTGTTTGGATTATTAATCCGGAGAATTAGTAACAATATGCTTAAAAAGCCTGGTCTTAAAACTGGCTTATTTCCATTGGGGTCCTTAATGACCTCACAGCAGTTGAATAACACCCAGATGCTTACTTACAGGTGAACAGGGGCAATTGGTGTAAGGTAATTTGCCCACTCGTGCTGGGGATCGAATCGCAGAGTCCTAGTGTGTTAGTTGAGGACACTACATATAGTGTACCGTGGTTCGGATGGCAACGTTCTTGCCTCGCACAATGTGTCCGTGGTTCGATCACCAGTATAGGTAGAAATGCAGGGCGTTTCCTTACCCCTGCTGTCCCTGTTCACCTAGAAGTAGGTAGGTACCTGGCTTAACTGGGCGTTAGTCGACTGGTGTGGGTCGCATCCTGGGAGACAAGACTGAAGGACACCCCCCCCCCATTCCATGGAAATAAGACAGACAGTCCTAGATGATGCACTGGCTTTCTTAGGTTAACCTGGGTGGCTAACCCTCTAGGTTAAAAATCCAAACAAATCTTATTTTTGGTTGCTTTTTGGAAGGCTATAGTGAAGTTATTTGTGTGCAAAACCTGTCATTTACAGTTAACTTGTAGAACAAAATTTACTGGTAGCAGTTTCCTGGCCAGTTTGTACCACAATGTGGGATAAGCTCTTACGTTCTAAAAGTTGACCAGTGAATTTATATGGCCCATTAGCTCTCTGTATAGTGGGGTTTCCAGTATTTCTTTCAAAGGTTAATATAAAAAAAATTACAGAACCTAGACACTTATTTCATTTGCTAAATCTCCTGAAAGGAATTTTATAGTGTGTTGTACTTCTTATTCTTGGGGTGCACCCCAGGCACTTAATGCTGCTTGACTTCCTGTTACCTAGAAAATTCAGTAATTTCATTTTAAATACTGCAATAAAATGACGAGATGATATAAGAAATTTTGCCAATACTAATGCCAGTACTCAAATTTAGACATAAACAGTACCTTCAAAATTTCCCAATACCATCAAAATTAGTTACTTCTCACCTATATCAGTACTCACTTTTTAACTCTTTGAGGGTCGACAGGCCCTCTCCGAAACTCTTTCTCAGGGTCGGCCAAATTTAAAAAAAAAAAATAATTTTCTCCTTTGAAAAGATAGAGAATCTTTTCCCGATCATAAGGACACCAAAAGTTTGAAATTTGATGGAAAACTTACGGAATTATGCTCTCGCAAAGTTAGCGGCCTCGGCGATGTTTACGCATCGGCGATTTTGCCCACTTTGAGCCCCATTTTCGGCCAATTCCACTGTACTAGTCGACAAAAAACATGAATATTTCGCTAGAACTCCATTTTTTCTATCGAATGGGTGCAAGAAACCACCCATTTATGAAATTCAACTATCCAGTACAATGGTCAGAATTTAGCAATTTTGCCAATTTCACACAAATTTCAAAAGATGCCAATTTCCGAATAGGGTCCAGAATAAACAAAGACATTCCTGGCACTAAAATGACATTTCCTCTGGTCATTAGTCACGTCTCAAGGCCTCTCTTATATTCTTTTGCTTTCCACTTTGAATTTTTATTCTCACAAAAAATATAAGATTTACTGTTATGCAGACTACTGCATTAGTGTAAAAAATGGTATAAATATTATTGGCGCACTTGTGAAAGAATATTAGACTCGCCAGTTGACGTGTATTGGACGCTTGGCATGATTTGTTTACTTTTGAAATTTGGAAAAAATCGAACATTTCTGGTACTTTGAGCTCAATTTCAAGGTACTTTTCATTGTAAAACCAGTCAAAATCATCTCAATTTCTGTAATATGTCTTCCATTCTATAAAATGAGACCACGAAAACTAGAATACAACAATAAATACCATACGAAAATACAGTGCAAAGTCGCTGTTTTATTCCAAAAAAAAACGGTAAAAGTTTTTTTTTTTCTCATTATTCACTGTGTGCTGCAGGACTTTTTTTAGACTGTGCACACTGACCACATAGACCTATTCTTTCATATGAAGGCCTACCAGCTTTCTCCCACTAGATTTGAGGGCGCTAGAATTTAGGCGTACTAGTACGTCAAAAACCCTGGGTCGTAAGCCTTACTAGTACGTCCGAAACCCTCAAAGGGTTAAGCCATTGCTACCACTGTCTTTGGAAATTTTACCAATCACTTGTTTGTAGGATCCTGGTGTGAACTGCCACACACTTTCTCACCCTGATCAATTAATCATGCAGATGCTGTAACTAAATTTTATATTATTTTTTCATTTAAGTTTATTGCATCTTTATAAATGTTAATCACTCTTTTAGTCTTTCCTGCTGTACAGTTATAGTTAAACAAAAATCATTTCTCTTTAGTCTGATTGCCCAAATGATGCATTTTTTATTAAAAAATTGTCTGTCTTTCATTTCTAAGATTTTAGAGGAAAGGTTATGAGAATTTAAAGCATGGTTTGTTTTGTGCATGTATATTTCTCTAAAAGATGCCCATGCTGGCAGGTAGTAAAGGACACGAGAGTAGATAAAAATTATTTCTTAGTTTCTACAGTATGGACAGCAAGTGGCCATGGTTGTATATTGAGGAAGAGGTGGATTAGAAGCAATATTAGAAAAATTTTCTTCAGAAATAGTGGTAGACCAGTGGCATAGATCAAGAGGCACTCTTAAAGTGCTACACCCCTTGGAAATTTTAAAAAATATGATGCACAAATTATTGAGAATAGGACAAGTATAGCTCAGTTGCTTTAGCTGCCGATGGGTACAATAACTGCAAATGAGTATGTACTGGTAATTATGAATATATCATTTTTTATATTCAGAGTAGGGTATATGCTTTGGAATATACAGTACTGCAGTTCTCATTTTTTTAAGAATTTGTTTGCATTTTGTATCGTTTTCTAATAACTTGTCAGTATCGCATATATTGACTTGAAGATTTGTTTATTTCAATTATTTTAAAATGGCACTGGATATAAATTTAGATTTTATTATACTGTACTGAGCTGCTAAAAAGAATTTTAAGATAGAAAGTACCCAAAGTTTATTTATTGGTTTCACCAATTTTTTGGAAGTAACCACACATACCATACATTGTAGCCCAATAGAAAACAATCTTAATGCAGGATGCAAGAACTAGAATATTGGGTACATAGTAACTTACTGTTAAATATACATTACCATAATGTGTTTAGTGTTTCATCCTGCATTGTTTATTTCTTGCAGATAGTGTGAGCAGCTTACCAAAATGTCATATACTGAATACTGGCTGATCTCTGCTCCAGGAGATAAGACATGTCAACAGACATGGGAGAAGATGAACAATCTCACAGCTGTTCAAAACCAATTAAGTGTTAATCACAAATTTCACCTCCCAGATCTCAAGGTAGAAAAATATTCTGGTTAGCATTTACACGAAATACTTTTGAAAATAGCAATAAACGAGTCATATTTAGATGGTGGCAAAGTTCTGGTTATTAGTACAACCACATTGTAGTAAAGTTCTGGTCTTCATACTACAGAATGGATATAAATGAATTGGAGAACATAGGAATAAAATTAATTTACATTATAAGGATTCTTTCTTACAAAGATAGATTTAGAAACATGAACCTACACTCTAGAATGATGTAGAATGAAAGGAAATATGACTGATGTATACGAGTGAAAAATAGGCATAAATATGGGAGATACAAAAGTACTGAGGATGTCTTAACCAAGAAGGTACCCAAGATAATTTATTCAAGTTGGATATATTTAAATTTCAAAATGATTTAGAAAAATACTGGTTTAGCAATAGTTATGGATGAGTGAAACAACTGCCAGGTAGAATCGTAAGCTAAGAGCTGGGATAGTCTTAAAATAGGCTAGGGAAATGTACGAGTGAGATGGGTTTGGTTTGAGAAGGACCTACCTAGCATGAGCCATTATATCTGCTGCAGTACTCCTCTTTCATATATTTGAGTAGCAGAGAGTAGGGCCTAAATAGAATGAGCCAGTAGGTTTACTGTTCAGTACTCCTTTGTTCTTGTTTAGGGATACAGCTTTTTAGCAATATTTGTGTACAAGTGGCTGAAAGTAGGACCTGCATAGCATGAGCCAGTAGGCCTGCTGCAGTGTTCTTGTGTTATTATGTAATGCTAGTTAATAGATTATTTTGACTTCAGGAGCCAGGACTGGAAAAGAAGGGAAGATGGTATAGCAGTGTTAAAACCACTGAAATGCAAATACAGCCTCTCCGCACTTAATGATGGAGTTCTGCTCCTTAAACCACGTCATTAAACGAATTTGTCGCTAAGTAAGGAGCATACTATAATGGTAGTCAGTTTGTGTCAACCATCTTTGATATTGTTTTAATGTCACCCTTGCACTATTTATAACATTTCTGGTATATTTTTAAATGTTTATACAGTAGTGTACTATACGTACTGTATATTGAAATAAACAGGATGGAGGAAATCAGCTCTAATATACATTGTTTAGGTATGAATACTGGTCAGAGAGCCTGTCGTAAGTCAGAGTCGTCGGTAAATGAGTACGTCGGTAAGTAAGGAGAGGCTGTACAGTAGTCCCCCCATAACCACAGGTGATATATTACAAAACCTACCATGGATAGTAGCAAACCCTACATACAAGTTGTTTTTCATTTACATACATACCTATGATAAAGTTTAATTAGTAAATTACATGGCTTCTCTTAGGCTTTGAAGAACGGCCACCATCGCTGCTTTTGTGTTTTGGTGCCACAATTAAGCAAAATTCAGGCTTGTTTTACGGCCACGGTGAACCGTGGAAAACAAATCCATGGATACGGGTCCTACTGTAAGCATAATGTATTAAAATGCTAGAAGAGAAAATATGACTCCTAAGTAAAAAACAAATCCATAGATACGGGGGTCCTACTGTAACCATAATTTATTGAAAGGTTAGAAGTGGAAATATAACTCCTAAGTTTTTTTTTTTTTTTTTTTTTTTTTTTTTTCCTTTAATCCAACTATTAATGCAACACATCAGATAAATGAGAACATTAAACGTGTTGCTTTAATCTAAAAATCAGATGAAGATGAAACGTTGAAATTTTTGTTTATAATGAACAGACTGAGTAACCTGTGATCTCTCATTTGCCTGATTTAGTCTGCATTGTAAATATCTTTGCTCAGGTTGGTACTTTGGATCAACTGGTTGGCCTGAGTGATGATTTGGCTAAATTGGACACCTATGTAGAGACAGTGACCCGCAAGATGGCCGGTTACTTGGGAGAAGTGCTAGAAGATCAACGTGATAAACTACCAGAAAATCTTCTTGCTAACCAAAGTAAGGATTCTGAGGAAAGTGTAAATACATGAAGATTATATATCCTATGATAATCTTTTGCTGGGCCCCCTCAAGGGAGGTTCCTTGATACTGGTGAGGGGCTCTTGATCTAGGGAATTGGATCTGTGCTCCAGTTCCTTAACCCTTTGACTGGCGCAACCCCAAATCCTGAGGTGTCTCCTGGTGTTGAAAAATTTTTGAAAAAAATAAAAATTATTTTTTCTTATGAAATGGTAGAGAATCTTTTCCCGATGGTAATGACACAAAAGAATGAAATTTGATTGAAGACTTGCGGAATTACGCCCTTGTGAAGTTAGCGACCTCGGTGATATTTACGAATCTGCGATTTTGCCCACTTTGAGCCCTATTTTCGGCTAATTCTATTGTTCCAGTCGACGAAACTCATAGCTATTTCTTTAGAACTCCATTTGTTCTATCGATTGAGTACAATAAGCTGCCCATTTACTGATTTCAAATACCCAATAACGTGGTGAGAAATTTGCAATTTAGCCAATTTCACGCAAATTAAAAAATATGCCAATTTCAAAATAGGGTCCAGAATGAACAATGCAGACATTCCTGGCTCTAAAATAACATTTTCTTTGTTCATCGGTCATGTCTCCAGGCCCCTCTGATATTACTCTTGCTTTCTATTTTGAATTTTTATTCAAACAAAAAATAGAAGATTTACTGTTTTGCTGACTACTGCAATATTGTAATAATTGTATAAATAATGTCAACTCATTCGTGACTGCATATTAGAATGGCTAGTTGGACATTGATTAGGCAATGACATCATTTGTTTAATTTTGAACATCGGCAAAAATCAAACATTTCCCCTACTTTGAGCTCCATTTCAAGGTTCTGTTCATAGTAAAACCAATCAAAATCACCTCTACTTCTATAATGTGTTTTCCATTCTATCAAATGAGACCAAGAAAATGAGAATACAACCATAAATACTATACGAAAATACACCACAAAGTCGGTGTTTTAATCCAAAAACACAGTTGGAGTTTTTTTTTTTTCTCATTATGCACTGCATGCTGCAGGATTTTTTATATGGTGCACACTGACCACAAAGACCCATTCTCTCATACGAGGGAGTACTACCAGCTTTCTCCTGCTTGATTTGAAGCCGCTAGAATTTGTTAGTATATATATACGTCCAACACGGTGGCTCGTGAGACGTATATATACGACTGAAAACAGTCAGAGGGTTAAATTAAGCCTGAATACCTTCCATCCCCCTCCCCCCCAACAAGAGCTCTATGAACCTAAGGGTTTAGCACTTCTCCATGTTATAATAATTTTGCTGTGCCAATCATTGACTTTTACTACAATATTGAATACAGTATGTTACAATTTATATAATTATACTGAAAATATAATTCAAGCTAATGAGAGAGACAGCCATAGTTATATAATGGGAAAAACATCCATAGTTATAGAATGAGAAAAACATGCAGTTATAGAATGCAAAAAACAGCCAAGGTATAGGATTGGGGAGAAGAGCTACTAAGCATAAAAGCATTAGTTACAAGGAAAACCAATAGTAAGAGTGGCAACATTCTCTCTCTACCATTTTTACGATACGGTTCATTCTGTAGGTAGCCTCTCATACATTTTTGCTACATTTTCTTAAAGTATTTACTTAGCTTCATTAATAATTTGCACAAGTTCATTTTAATTAAGTTTTCATTCACAGATTTTAAGAAATATTTTTCTGAGTATGAATGTGTGTTTGTAGAATTTTAATCAGTTTATATAAAAACCCATGTAATAATCATCTTTTTCCCCATTTGCTGTACTACAGTGGACCTAGCTACCTACTTGACAAAGTTCCAGTGGGAAATGGCTAAATTTCCAATCAAACAATCATTACGAGGTATTGTGGATGCCATCAATAACCAGGTCACTCAGATTGAAAATGACCTCAAATCCAAATCTTCAAATTATAACAACCTGAAGTCAAATCTTGCCAATATGGAGAGGAAACAAACGTATGTACAAAGTTAACAAGTCTTGCTGTATCACTTTGAGTATACGATGATTAAACCAATCATTTTTGTGAGAAAACAAAATACACAAAAGCTGCAGTGTGTATTCATATATTTTTGTCAAGGATTACTTTGGTTTTGTTATTTGTGAGTCTTCATTTACTTAGCACTAGGAAATGTACATTATTACAACATGGTTCCCTTCAAGGCAGAGTGCCTTGATGCTAGTGAAGGGCCCTTGATTTGAGGAATTAGAGGTACACTCCCCTTCCTTGGATCAAGTTTGACTACCATTCCTAAGGGCTCTTGATACAAGAATTGAATTTATTCTATCCCTGGATCAAATCTGTTAATCTCCATTTCCTTGGTGTAGTATAATTCCTATGAGTTCAGTATTTCCACATTAATACACTGTAATAATAATAAGTATAGTGCATGCACTTTGAAGGAGGGAGGAGAATGTTGCAGTTTGGAAACATCTGAGCTGTGCTGTCAGCATCCTTTTGGCAGACAGTGAATGAATAACAATGAAAGTTAGTTTTTTTTTTTTCAGACTACCATGATGGGTGACAGCCAGTGTGTTAAAAAAAAATTACAACATTGTTATAAAAATTTTTTACATGGAAACAGTTAATAGAAATGGACAACTAGTTTCTGTTTAATTTATATTACAGTAATCACACTTTTCATTTTTTAACACTGGCCGTCTCCCACCAAGGTAGGGGGACCTGAAAAAGAAGAAACGCTTGGCATCACTGTCTTGCCAGAGGTGTTCTGATATTGCAGCTTACATGCCCCTCCAATCTGCAGTATCCCAACCCCTCCTCAAGAGTGCAGGCATTGTACTACCCACCTCCAGGACTCAAGTCTGGTTAACCAATTTCTCTGAATCCCTTCACAAATGTTACTTTGCTCACACCCAGCACATCGTTATAAAAGTCACTTGCCTCCACTCTTAAGATGCTCTCACACGTTCGTTGAATGTCCAAGCCCCTCACACACCTTCCCCCTCTCCCTTCTCACCAACCTTTCAGAGGACTACCCCTACCCATCCTTTCCTCCATTACAGATTTACACACCCTCTGAGTCATGCTATTTTGCTCATTCCTCTGAATGTCCATACTACCTCGATAATCTCTTCTCAGCCTTCTGGATAATGCTTTTAGTAATCCAGCTCCTCCTCTTCCAAGCTGTGAATTCTCTGCACAGTATTGAAACCACACATTGCTCTCAGACAATATATTTCCACTGCTTCCAACCTCCTCCTTGTTGTAATGTTTAAAAATCGTGCTTCACATTCATATAAGAGTGTTGGTACTATTAAACTGATGCATTACCCCCCTTCCCTTTTTTTCCATGAATAATGTTATTTGCACAGATGCCTCATTGGACTGCCCACATTTTTTTTTCCTCGTTATTGCTATTGCTCAACCCATCCTTCATAACCCAGTCTGCCGACAAATCCACATTCACTTCGTCTGTAATCTCTCCTTTAAATCTGATATCCAGTCTTTCACTATCTAAAGTTTTTGCTACTCTTATCACCTTGCTCTTAATTATGTTTACTTTTAATTATACCTCCTTTCACAAACCCTCCTAAACTTGTCTACCAACCTTTGTAACTTCTCTTCAGAATCTCCCAAAAGCACCTTATCATCGGTAAAAAGCAACTGACAACAACTCGTTTGTGAGAGATTTTCTTTTAGTCGTTCACCTCTCCCCACCACCCAGCATTCACTTCTTTTACAGCCTCATTTATAGCATGTTAAACAACCATGGTAGCATTGCTCTTCCCTGTCTAAGGACTACTCTAACTGGAAAATAATCTCCCTCTCCTACATACCCTAATCAGAGCCTTGCTGTCCTCGTTAAAACCTAACTGCTTTCAATAATTTACCACCTATTACATATTCTTGCAGCATTTCTCTCTTATCCAACCTAAATGAGCGGATAGATAATTTAAGTACAGCGGTACCCCGAATTTCGGCCACAAATTTGTTCCCATAACGAATAATGTAAATTAGATTAGTCCGTTTCAGACCCCAAAAACTACGCTTACAAAAGCACTTACAAAAATACACTTAAATAATTGTTCAAGTTGGGAGTTGTTCGAAATTCAAGGTACCACTGTAATTGTTAAATTCCTCGGTTTATAATTTGGGGTATACTTTTTCATAAACATGCACATGATTGTTGGGCTCAAGTTTTTTCAGCTGTTTTTCCCTCCCACTGGGCAACTGGGAATGATAATTGTTTCCATTTAACAAGAGGGCAGTTAGAGTGGTTGCTGTATAGCATTCATCACTAATTAAGAATAAGTAGAGTTCTGCTTTTTTATGTGGTGTACTTCATGAATTTAAATTTGTAAAAGTTTAAAAAAGGTTGAGTTATAGATTCTTAATGAAAAACATTATGCCATCAGCTGTGGGAAAAAACGTAGTTTTGATGTAAATAAATGTTTTTATAGGAGAGAAATTTTCTTTTTCAGTAGTGATGTTTAATATATACAGCACTTTACTAATTTAATAATTTTGTCTGTTTCAGTGGAAGCCTGTTGACAAGAAACCTTGGCGAACTGGTGAAGAAAGAAGATTTTGTTCAGAATAGTGAATACCTTGTCACCTTGTTGGTGGTAGTGCCCAAGTAATTATTTTTAAAACAGTGTCATTGGTATTCACACTTTTCTTACTCCTCAGTATCAGAGAATATCTCCTAAGGAATTACATACAGAATTAAAGTCTGGGAGTTGTATACTCGCCCATTTCATGATTGACATAATTTGGTTTTCTTTGTTTTGTCCTGCATGTATTTTCCAAATAATATCTAGAAAACATCTATTTGCATTGTATTCAGCCTTAAAACACTTTTTTTTTTTAACACACTGGCCGTCTCCTACCGAACCAGGATGACCTAAAAAGAAACACACTCACCAGCATTCACACACAATTACTGTCTTTGCAAAGGTGTGCAGATGCAACAGTTTAAATGTCGCACTCATATGATCATTAAAACTTCCTATTAAACTTAATCATATAATTTGTAATATATGTGAAGCATTGCAGAGCAGAAAATGAAGACCAAATTCACACAAATACAAATATTGTACTGTACAAATCTTTCGACACTACTGTACAAAACGTACAGTAATCTGAAGGCCCATAGGATACATAGCATTTTGGGTAAAACTTAGACTGTAGTTAAAATTTACTGCATATACATGTAGTTTATTTTTTAAGGGTCTAATACGTGATATTAACCCTTAAACTGTCCAAACGTAGGTCTACGTTTTTTCATCATTTGAAAGTATGTAAAAAAAGTAGATCTTCTTTTCTTTTTTTTACATTTGAAAACATGTAAAAAACACTGATCTACTTTTTTTTTGTTATACTATTTGAAAATATGTAAAAAACGTAGATCTACTTTTGGAGCACTACGCATGTGAACATAAATTTGTTTAGAGAGTTTAAGGGTTAAAAGGAAACTTAAAAATAGGTAGACTGCAAATTAATTCCTAAGATACAGCATAGCATATAAATGTCTAGTTCTAACAGGGTAAGTGGTATTAATTAATTAAAATTATAAACAATATAATGAAATATAAGTTTTCTCAGAATTATTTCTGCGGACATGGATAAATGAAGTTTATTGTTATTAACACGTCAGCCGTTTCCCACCAATGTAGGGTGGCCTGAAAAAGAAAAACTTTCATCATCATTCACTCCATCACTGTCTTGCCAGAGGCACGCTTACACTACAATTATAAAACTGCAACATTAACACCCCTCCTTCAGAGTGCAGGCACTGTACTTCCCATCTCCAGGGCTCAAGTCTGGCCTGCCGGTTTCCCTGAATCCCTTCACAAATGTTACCTTGCTCACACTCCAACAGCACATAAGTCCTAAAAATCATTTTTCTCCATTCGCTTCTATCTAACATGCTCACGCATGCTGGAAGTCCAAGCCCCTCACACACAAAACCTCCTTTACCCCCTCCCTCCAACCTTTCCTCAGCTGACCCCTACCCCACCTTCCCTCCACTACAGATATACACATTTGAAGTCATTCTGTTTTGTTCCCTGCATCCTCTCTGCATGTCCAAACCACCTCAACAACCCCTCCTCAGCCCTCTGGATAATAGTTTTGGTAATCCCCCACCTGACTTGACATCTCCACTCCCTCCAGCCTTCTTGTTGCAACATTCACCACCCATATAAGAGCATTGGTATAACTATACTCTCATACATTCCCCTCTTTGCTTTCATGGACAAAGTTCTTTGTCTCTACAGACTCCTCAGTGCACCACTCACCTTTTTCCCTTCTTATTGTGTAAGATCATTAATACATTAGCTGTGTCTGAAAGAAGCGATTACAGCATATAGTGCATTTTTTTAACACCAGCCATTTTCCATTGATGTAGGGTGACCTGAAAAAGAAGAAAGATTTTTCACTTTTTTTTTTTTTTTTTTTTTTTTTCCCCAACAGTCGGCCGTCTCCCACCGAGGCAGGGTGACCCAAAAAAGAAAGAAAATCCCCAAAAAGAAAATACTTTCATCATCATTCAACACTTTCACCACACTCACACATTATCACTGCTTTTGCAGAGGTGCTCGGAATACAACAGTTTAGAAGCATATACGTATAAAGATACACAACATATCCCTCCAAACTGCCAATATCCCAAACCCCTCCTTTAAACTGCAGGCATTGTACTTCCCATTTCCAGGACTCAAGTCCGACTATATGAAAATAACCGGTTTCCCTGAATCCCTTCACTAAATATTACCCTGCTCACACTCCAACAGATCGTCAGGTCCCAAGTATCATTCGTCTCCATTCACTCCTCTATCTAACACGCTCATGCACGCTTGCTGGAAGTCCAAGCCCCTTGCCCAAAAAAACCTTTACCCCCTCTTTCCAACCCTTTCGAGGACGACCCCTACCCCTCCTTCCTTCCCCTATAGATTTATATGCTTTCCATGTCATTCTACTTTGATCCATTCTCTCTAAATGACCAAACCACCTCAACAACCCCTCCTCTGCAGGCATGAGAAAGATTGGGATGAATTATTTGGTGTTGAAGATTTTGATGGGTTTAATATACTGAATAGTAATATTTGTTTATCCTTTGCAACCACGATTTGCATTTTGTACGGCCTCTCCTCACTTAGCGATGTACTCATTTACTGACAACTCGGACGTACGACGGGCTCCCTGACCAGTATGCATTCCTAAAACTTTCTAATGTATATTAGAGCTGATTTCCTCTATTCTTTTTATTACAGTATTCAGTACACTACTGTATAAACATTTAAAAATATACCAGAAATTTTATAAATGGTGCAAAGGTGACATTAAAAGAATATCAAAGATGGTTGACATAAACCCACTACCATTATAGTATACTCCTCACTTAGCAACAAATTCGTTTACCGACATGGTCTTAGGAACAGAACTCCGTCGTTAAGTGAGGAGAGGCTGTATTGTAATACTGTTTGAAAGGAGAAAATACCATATTGGTTAGTCTTAAAGATGGGGACAGTGGCCAGTTTAGTAAATCTGCACTGTTCAGCTGCCATGATGAACAGTGAGAGGTAAGAAGCTGATGCAAATGAAACTATGTACTGGATATTATCAGATAGAGGGAGGGGGTAAAGGAGGTTTTTTTGTGCAAAGGACTTTGACATAACATGTGTTAAGTGTGTTAGTTAGGAGTGAGTGGAGACTAGTGGTTTTTGGGACTTGACAAGCTGTTGGAGTGTGAGCAGGGTAATATGTTAAGGGATTCAGGGAAACTGGTTAGCCAGACTTGTCCTGGAGATAGGAGTATAGCACCTGTACTGTACTCCCATCTCCAGGAGTGTTTAGAGTGACATCTAAACTGTTGTATCTACATGCCTATGGTAAACAATGTTAATATGAATGATCATGGAAGTATTTCCTTTTTGGGTCACCCTGCCTCAGTGGGAGATGGCTAACATGTAAAAAAAAAAAAAGAATGTGGCTACCATGTGTAGTTTTGCCCTTGATGCACCCAAGGTATGGGAATCCAGGCCCATAACATTTATTTTTTTTTTTTTTTTTTTTAACATGCTGGCCTTCTCACACTGAGATAGGGTGACCCCAGAAAAAAAGAAAATGTATTGATCATCACTTATTCAGTTGCTGTTTTGCTACAAGTATGCTGACATCAGAGTTGAGATGATCTTCTGAGCTGCAATATCCTCACCCTTCTGTTAAAGTGCAGACACTGTACTTCTCATCTCCAGGACTTGTCTGGCTAATGTTTCCCTGATTCTATTCAAAAGTTACTTTGCTTACACTCAACAGCATATCAAGGTCACAAAAACACTCATTCCAATTTAAAGTGCTCTCACACACAAATCTACTGGACTTTCAAGGCCACAATATACTACAAGGATTTAAATCCCTGGAAAGTATTGACCATGACTAAGTTTGCCTCTCTAACTTTTTTTTTTTTATCTTGAAAATTTGATCCTTAAACCAGGGGGACATATGTGGTAGGCCAGTCATGGATGTTTGCATAATTTTTAAATTCATAATGAATCCCCAAATTGGAGTTTATAATCAGTTTTAGATAATTGGTACATCTTGGATAATTATCAAGTCACTTCTGGCATTTGTTCAATATCTGTACAGTGTAAGATGTTATAGGACCCTTACAGGTTAAGCACTACCTACTGATTTAAATGCTATAAATGTGTAGTGTAATTGTTAGACTACACAGTTTGGTATGTATATAGAAAGTAAAAACCATACAAAAACACGGAAATTAAATTTACGAAATGTTTTTTTCCCATTTGTGCATTCCTGTGTATAAATGTAATACAGCATTTATTTTGCAGAATGTATTATCCAGATTGGCAAACAAAATATGAACATCTGTCTGATATGGTTGTGCCCCGATCCTCCCGCATGATCTTTGAAGACCATGACCATGGTCTGTTTACTGTCACACTTTTCTCGAAGGTAGTTGATGAATATAAACTCCATGCTCGAGAGAACAAGTAAGTTATATTAGTCTTTGCTTTTATATTTGATAAGCTTTAAGCAAACTGTTTTTCTTAATTGGCATCACAAATACCAGTTGTGTTAAAAGCTTTGTCAATGGTTGGATAGATTTTCTTAAAACTAAACTTACAAACAAGCATTTTATTTTGAAAATATAAATTTTTACAAAATTAGGTGACATTTTACACATTTTGAAAGGTTCCTGGTTTTTTGCAGAGTATTTTGAGCAAACTTAAATAAGAAGTTAAGCATACTCAAACAAGATGGGTGGACAAATAATTTACTGTATACATGATTTACTGTAGATTTTACTTATTCATTTTGTTTTATTGTTTTGGGTGATGACTTGGATTCTGTATGATTTTACATTTAGGAAGTAGATAATTTGTCCCTTTATATAAAGGGAAGGGGGACAAAAGAGATTGTAAAAATTATAGAGGAATAAGTTTACTGGGTACACCAGGAAAAGTGTATGGTAAGGTTATAATTGAAAGAATTAGAGGTAAGACAGAATGTAGGATTGCAGATGAGCAAGGAGGTTTCAGAGTGGGTAGGGGATGTGTAGATCAAGTGTTTACATTGAAGCATATATGTGAACAGTATTTAGATAAAAGTAGGGAAGTTTTTATTGCATTTGTGGATTTAGAAAAGGCATATGATAGAGTGGATAGGGGAGTTACATGGCAGATGTTGCAAGTATATGGAATAGGTGGTAAGTTACTAAATGCTGTAAAGAGTTTTTATGAGGATAGTGAGACTCAGGTTAGGGTGTGTAGAAGAGAGGGAGACTACTTCCCAGTAAAAGTAGGTCTTAGACAGGGATGTGTAATGTCACCATGGTTGTTTAATATATTTATAGATGAGGTTGTAAAAGAAGTAAATGCTAGGGTGTTGGGGAGAGGGGGGGGATTAAATTATGGGGAATTAAATACAAAATGGGAATTGACACAGTTGCTTTTTGCTGATGATACTGTGCTTATGAGAGATTCTAAAAAAAATTACAAAGGTTAGTGGATGAGTTTGGGAGTGTGTGTAAAGGTAGAAAGTTGAAAGTGAACATAGAAAAGATGAAGGTATCAAATGATTTAGATAAAGAAAAATTGGATATCAAATTGGGGAGGAGGAGTATGAAAGAAGTGAATGTTTTCAGATACTTGGGAGTTGATGTGTCGGCAGATGGATTTATGAAGGATGAGGTTAATCATAGAATTGATGAGAGAAAAACGGTGAGTGGTGCGTTGAGGTAAATGTGGAGACAAAAAATGCTATCTATGGAGGCAAAGAAGGGAATGTATGAAAGTATAGTAGTACCAACACTCTTATATGGGTGTGAAGCTTGGGTTGTGAATGCAGCAGCGAGGAGGCGGTTGGAGGCAGTGGAGATGTCCTGTCTAAGGGCAATGTGTGGTGTAAATATTATGCAGAAAATTTGGAGTGTGGAAATTAGGAGAAGGTGTGGAGTTAATAAAAGTATTAGTCAGAGGGCTGAAGAGGGGTTGTTGAGGTGGTTTGGTCATTTAGAGAGAATGGATCAAAGTAGAATGACATGGAGAGCGTATAAATCTGTAGGGAAAGGAAGGCGGGGTAGGGGTAGTCCTCGAAAAGGTTGGAAGGAAGGGGTAAGGGAGGTTTTGTGGGCGAGGGGCTTGGACTTCCAGCAGGCGTGCACGAGCGTGTTCGATAGGAGTGAATGGAGACGAATGGTATTTGGGACCTGACGATCTGTTGGAGTGTGAGCAGGGTAATATTTAGTGAAGGGATTCAGGGAAACCGGTTATTTTTATATAGCCGGACTTGAGTCCTGGAAATGGGAAGTACAATGCCTGCACTTTAAAGGAGAGGTTTGGGATATTGGCAGTTTTTAGGGATATGTTGTGTATCTTTATACGTATATGCTTCTAAACTGTTGTATTCTGAGCACCTCTGCAAAAGCAGTGATAATGTGTGAGTGTGGTGAAAGTGTTGAATGATGATGAAAGTATTTTCTTTTTGGGGATTTTCTTTCTTTTTGGGTCACCCTGCCTCGGTGGGAGATGGCCGACTTGTTAAAAAAAAATAATTATTAAATCTTTTAAATTGAATGGATTTCCAGTTTTTTTTTTTTTTTTTTTTTTTTAAGTGATTTGAATCATGAATTTATAGTTGTACTTAATCTTGCCTCCATCCTTTTGTAATATTCTGCTTCTTCATTTAGATTTGTTGTGCGGGAATTTACATACAATGAAGAAGAGCTTACAGCTGGAAAGAATGAACTCTCTAAGCTCATCAATGACAAGAAGAGGCATTTTGTAAGTCTTGCATATTAAATTGATTTAGTATAGCTTCTTCTTACAAAAGATTTGGTGATATGTTGGCCTTGGGAACTAGACTGGACACAGTTTGAGAGGAAGTAAATTATAAGTTTATGACTATTCACATGAAGCACTTTGCACTTCAAAATATTTTTAGATGTTGTTTTGTTAGTTTTGGTGGCACTATTTTTGGTGATGTTACAGTGTGGAAACTGTGAAATGATGGCTTTCCTTTTGATTTACTTTTTTTGTGTGTGTGTAATTGTTCCTTAATGTGTTCCTGTTTGTATATTTATCAAGTATATGCAGAAAATTCGGAGTGTGGAAATTAGGAGGTGTGGAGTTAATAAAAGCATTAGTCAGAGGGCAGAAGAGGGGTTGTTGAGGTGGTTTGGTCATTTAGAGAGAATGGATCAAAGTAGAATGACATGGAAAGCATATAAATCTATAGGGGAAGGAAGGACGGGTAGGGGTCGTCCTCAAAAGGGTTGGAAAGAGGGGGTAAAGGAGGTTTTGTGGGCAAGGGGCTTGGACTTCCAGCAAGCGTGCATGAGCGTGTTAGATAGGAGTGAAAGGAGATGAATGATACTTGGGACCTGACGATCTGTTGGAGTGTGAGCAGGGTAATATTTAGTGAAGGGATTCAGGGAAACCGATTATTTTCATATAGTCGGACTTGAGTCCTGGAAATGGGAAGTACAATGCCTGCACTTTAAAGGAGGGGTTTGGGATATTGGCAGTTTTTAGGGATATGTTGTGTATCTTTATACGTATATGCTTCTAAACTGTTGTATTCTGAGCACCTCTGCAAAAGCAGTGATAATGTGTGAGTGTGGTGAAAGTGTTGAATGATGATGAAAGTATTTTCTTTTTGGGGATTTTCTTTCTTTTTTGGGTCACCCTGCCTCGGTGGGAAACGGCTGACTTGTTGAAAAAAAAAAAATATTTGTACGGTGCCTGCACTAAAGAAAGGATTTGGGATATTTGCTGTTTAGAGGGACATCTAAACTGTCGTATCTTCACGCCTCTGGCAAGATAGTGATAGTGTAAATGATGGTGAATTTGTTTCTTTTTTGGGTCACCCTGCCTAGGTGGGAGACTGACAGCATGATAAAAAAATTTTTTTTTTTAATATTTAAGTTATTATCTGCAATAAAAAGTTTTTTTTCTTTTTTTAACACCATCTGTCTCCCTCTGAGGTGGGGTAACCCAAAAGAAGAAACACTTCACCATCATTCACTCTAATACTGTCTTGTTATGATGGAACAAGTTCCTGCAGTGCATCTAAATGTGGAGGATATGACCAGATGTGTGCAACTATGAATATTTTTTAACCCTCTATTTTGATCTTACTTCACGGTTATTTTAGGGCCAGTTCTTCCATGCATCATGTAATATAGATGTGATCAGATTTATTTCAGCATACATAGGCAGCTGAGGAAAAATTTTCTTTAGGATTTCTTTCCCCAAATTCTATAGTTAAACACCTAAGATTATCTCGCATAGCAATCACATGAAGTAGAAATGAGAGACTGGGTGCCAGTTTTCCAAGCTTCCTTTTGGCAAGCCAGAGGCTATGTATAGTTTGATGGTCATTTAATTAGCCACTATAAAATATCAATGAATTATTTAAGAGAAAACAGGGAAAATATAACTTTTGTATAATTTTTCCTCATGAACATGCTCGAATGACAGCAAACAGTCAGTGAAGGTTCCTCAGAGCTGGTGAGGAGCTTTTGATCCAAGGAATGTCACTTATCCTTCTTAACTTGGTTTGGACTTGATTAACTCCCAGTCCCCAGCTTTGTGTGACCCCCTACAGGTTTATCATATTCCCCCTAAATGTAATAATAAAAATGATAATGACACTTAAAATTATTATGCATACTCATATTTATAATGATATCTGATGCTCATCATATATTACAGGGTCCTTTGGTACGCTGGCTGAAAGTCAACTTCAGTGAATGTTTCATATGCTGGATACACGTAAAGGCAATAAGAGTATTTGTAGAGTCAGTACTCAGGTAGGTTGCCATTTTATTTTACCTCCATGAAAGTGCTGTAGTAATGGATTTAGAAAAAGCATGACATTGTAATAAATTGAAAGCTTGTATTTTTAGCATGAATCTATTCAGGCATTTTAGAGTGAATGTGTCAACAGTTGGGCTTCTGAACTATGTTAACTATAGAATAGATGATGAAAAATGGATAGGCATTTGTGGAAAGAGAGCCAAGAGTGGTAATGTACCACAGTATAGTGGTGTCAACACTTTTGTATGGGTGTGAGGTGTGGGCTTTAAATGTTTTAGTGAAAAGAAGGCATGGAAAATGCCATGTTTGAGAGCAATGCGTATTATCAATACAGCCTCTCCTCACTTAATGACAGAGTTCCGTTCCTAAGACCACGTCAGTAAACGAATTTGTCACTAAGTGAGGAGCATACTATATTGGTAGTGGGTTGGTGTCAACCATCTTTGATATTGTTTTAACCCTTTGACTGTCGCGGCCGTATATATACGTCTTACGAGGTACCGTGTTTGACGTATATATACTCATAAATTCTAGCGGCTTCAAATCAAGGAGGAGAAAGCTGGAAGGCCCACATGTGAGAAAATGGGTCTGTGTGGTCAGTGTGCACCACATAAAAAAAATCCTGGAGCACGCAGTGCATAATGAGAAAAAAAAAACTCCGACCGTTTTTTTTTTTTTTTTTTAATTAAAATGCTGACTTTGTGGTCTATTTTCGTATAGTATTTATGGTTGTATTCTCGTTTTCTTGGTCTCATTTGATAGAATGGAAAGCATATTATAGAAAAAGAGATGATTTTAATTGATTTTACTATAAAAAGAACCTGGAAATGGAGCTCAAAGTGGGGGAAATGTTTGATTTTTGCCTGTGTTCAAAAATAAACAAATGACATCATTGTCCAATATGTGTCCAACTAGCCATTCTGATATGCAGTCATGAATGGGTTGATGTTATTTATACAATTATTACAGTATTGGAGTAGTCTGCATAATAGTAAATCTATTTTTTGTTTGAATAAAAATTCAAAATAGAAAGCAAGAGTAATATCAGAGGGGCCTGGAGACATGACTGATGAACAAAGAAAATGTTATTTTAGAGCCAGGAATGTCTGCATTGTTCATTCTGGAGATTATTTTGAAATTGTCATATTTTTTAATTTTCGTGAAATTGGCTAAATTGCAAATTTCTGACCACGTTATTGGGTAGTTGAAATTGGTAAATGGGCAGTTTCTTGTACTCAATCGATAGAAAAAACGGAGTTCTAAAGAAATAGCTATGAGTTTGGTCGACTGGAACAATCGAATTAGCTGAAAATAGGGCTCAAAGTGGGCGAAATTGCCGATTTGTAAATATCGCCAAGGTCGCTAACTTTGGGAGAGTGTAATTCCGTCAGTTTTCCATCAAATTTGTTTTTTTTGGTGTCATTACAATCGGGAAAAGATTCTCTATCATTTCACAAGATTTTTTTTTTTTTTTTTTTTTAAATTTTGTGACACCAGGAGACACTTCAGGATTGGGGTTGCGACAGTCAAGGGGTTAATGTCACTTTTGCACCATTTATAACATTTCTGGTATATTTTTAATTGTTTATACAGTACAGTGAACCCCCGCATAACGATCACCTCCGAATGCGACCAATTATGTAAGTGTATTTATGTAAGTGCGTTTGTATGTTTGGGGGTCTGAAATGGACTAATCTACTTCACAATATTCCTTATGGGAACAAATTCGGTCAGTACTGGCACCTGAACATACTTCTGGAGTGAAAAAATATCGTTAACCGGGGGTCCACTGTATTGTACTGTATATTGTAATAAACAGAATAGTGGAAATCTACTCTAATATACATTATTTAGGTATGCATACTGGTCAGAGAGCCCATCATAAGTCTGAGTCGTTGGTAAATGAGTACGTAGCTAAGTGAGGAGAGGCTGTATTGTGCAGGGAATTCGGAACTGTATCCCACCGAGGCAGGGAGATGTGTAGTTATCAAGGTGTAATTCTGGCTGGGGAGGAGTTGAGGTGGTTTAGGCATTTAGAAAGGATGGAGTAGAATATGTAGGATAACTAAGAAGGTACTGAATATAAACCTGGAGCAGAAAGAAGGGAAAGGAGGGGTTCTGTGAAGATCTGAAAGGAGGGAGGAGGGTTGAGAAGGATTTGAGACCTAGGGACTTGTACATCAAAAAAACTTGAGTGTGTGTAAGATCTGAGTGGAGACAAGTGTTTTTTTTTTTTATGGCTTGACATGTTGGGGCGAGCAGGATAACATTTATAAAGGGATTCAGGGAAACCAGTTTGCTAGACTCGAGTCTTAGAGTTGGGTAGCACGCTGCCTGCACTCGAAAGGAGGGGTGAAGTTTGTGTAGTTCAGAGGGTCATCTGAACAATGCTGTTGGCACACTTGTGGCAGGACAACAACTGAATGAATCATAGTGAATGTATTTCTTATTCTGGGGTCACACTACTTCAGTAGAAGACAATTGATATGTTAAAATAAATTTAACATTAACTTATGGTGAAGAAAATATTCAGTATATAATGACATACTCAAGCATTATTTTGTAGTATCTAACCTTCATCCTCATCTAGTGAAGTTTTTTTTTTTTTTTTAACAAGCCGGCCGTTTCCCACCGAAGCAGGGTGACCCAAAAAGAAAGAAAATCCCCAAAAAGAAAATACTTTCATCATCATTCAACACTTTCACCTCACTCACACATAATCACTATTTTTGCAGAGGTGCTCAGAATACAACAGTTTAGAAGCATGTACGTATAAAGATACACAACATATCCCTCCAAACTGCCAATATCCCAAGCCCCTCCTTAAAAGTGCAGGCATTGTACTAGTGAAGTTGATGTTGAAATTTATATGCCAGCATTTTATGCCATCATTAAGCTTGGTTTCTTTTGTTGCTACAATGGGGCTGTATTGCTGTAAATACACTTTAAGAAACCTGATAAAAAAATCTCATTCATTATCTTTTCTATTTGTGACAGTTTTGTCCTCACTGTACTTCTCTCTTCCAGGACTCGGGTCTGGTTAACCAGCTGCCCTGAATCCCTTTTAAATGTTCCCTTGTTCACACTCCAACAGCACGTCAAATAATATAAACCACTTGCCTCCAATCAATCCTATCTAACACACATGCTCAAACCTGTTGGATGTCCAATCCCCTAGCACTCAAAACTTACTTTACCCCCTCCTTCCAACCTTTCCTAGGATTGATAAAGCCACTGTGGCAAAACCTCTCCTACTATTGCACATGCGTCTTACTCGGCAGTTGACCCTCATGTTTGTCTCGCTCTGTTTCCCATCACAAAGTTGTCACAACTTCCTCCACAGAATAACATACTCCTGTTTTGGAATCAACGTTATCACACTATTTGTTTAATTTAATAAGTCTTGTCTAATTTACATGACCATAGTCATCATCATTCTTTGTGCCAGTGAATCTTTTTTCAAAATCCATATGCTTGACTTCACTGTTAATTTTAATAGCCTGCTTTTATCTTTCTCACATTTTCAAATTTGTCTATATACTGCTATACTCTTTGCTGGTAAAATTGTCTAAGCATTGTGTGATCATACTGATGTTTCATATTTTCTGGATCAGGAATGTCTTCATTTACTTTAAGTATTTATTTAATGATAAATATATTTTTTATCCAAGATATGGGTTACCAGTGAACTTCCAAGCCATGCTTCTTCACCCAAATAAAAAGAGTGTTAAAAGGCTGCGTGATACACTCAATCAGCTGTATTCTCACCTGGACTCCTCTGCAACAGGAGGAGCAGGAGATGTGAGTACAGTTTAAGGATTCTGAGTTCTGTCCATCCACATTGGTGAGATTAACTCTATAAATTTTTGCACAAGGACTAAATATTACAAAGTAAACATTAAGGGTGGAGAGACTCATTCTAATACAACCATACAAGTCTGCTGTATGCTAAAGCCTAGCACTGAAAACCTCCTTTACCCCCCTGCCCCTCTCCCATCCACCCCAGATTTATACTGTCCCTTCCATCCTCGTATAAATGTCCAAACCACCTCAACACCACCACCTCAGTCTGATTTATATCTTTGGTGAACTCACACCCTCTAATAACTTTTATGCTTTGGATTCTTTCCATAATACTTACATCATACATTGCTTTCAAACATGGCATCATTGACCTCTGGCCTCCTCATACCCATTTAAAAGTGTTGGTACCACTGTGCTCTAGTACATTCCTCTTTTTACCTCCATGGATAAATGTTTTTTCACAGCTTAGCACACCACCTACCATGTTTTTCCTATATTATGGTCCACCTTGTCTTGCGTACATCCATCTTCCAACATGTCCACTTTCAAGTATCTGAGTACATTTACTTCTTTTGTATGCCCTCCCTTCAATGTCATCAAATCTTTCATTGCTTAGACTTTTTTTTATTCTTATCATTTTGCTCTTGTCCATTTTAGTTTTCTTTTACATGAAGGCATTCATGCAGTACTTAATGCCATTCTTAGCAAATTTTTGTTTACTTGGTCGTCTTTAGTAGCCTTACCTGATACTGCATTTTGCTTAGCATGAAATGGTAAAATTATATGATCAAAATGCATTAGATATTTATGCTAGAGGACAATGAGTCCACTATTTTTAAAACATTCTGGACCAAACTTGTTAGAAATGTTTTAAGATAGATCCTAGATGGGATTACATATACAGTATTTTAGTAATTGGCAGTCTTATTGGACACACTTGTATTGATAACATGTGAAAGAAAATTTATTTGTCTAGGTGAGTTATTTCTAAGTTATTGATTTGAACCCTGCTAATAATTTTTTTTTTCTTTTTCAGATCGTGGACATCCCTGGCTTAGGTTTCAATACAAGTGAATATTTTCCTTATGTGTATTTTAAGATCAACACGGACATGATTGGCGATCATAGGGCTTAGATCATTTCCAAGTGCTTTTGATGTTATTTGCCAAATTGAAAAACTCAGAGTAATATATAGTCAGAGTAAATTTTTTTTTTTTTTTTTTTAATAATAGTTAAACCTATATGTTGGCGAGAATATTTGAAAAATAAAATAGTGTATATATGAGATGCATGTTAAAAAAGAATTTTGTTATAGTAATGCACAAAGACATTGAATTCATTAACTCTTTATGCAGATGTAAAGTTGTAAAAGTATATTCCATGTTTATGAATTCCTATTTTAGAGACAAATTTTTATTTATTTATTGATAGTGAAAGAAACGTAATACTGTATATTTCATTTGTACATTTTCTTTTAATAGATTAGTTCAATTTGTACATCTGGGTTTTAGGTTTCTGGAGGAAACAGTCACATTCCTGATACTCTTTCATTCCAACATTTATTTTTAAATGTGTGAGCTACATTGAACAATTAGATGGTAATAAATGTTGTGTAAAATAGTTCACTACATGTAGTGAAATGTGCGAAGCCAGATACTGACAGCTAAACCATTCTTTTTACTTTATATTATAGATGAGAATATTCTTCCCTAATGGCACAAAATTATAAGATTTTATTTTTTGATATTTTCATGGCAGTGTATGACTTTTTTGGGTTTAACCTGAATTCCTCACTAGATTATATATATATATATATATATATATCTAGATAGATCTATATATATATATAGATATATACAGCTGAATTTCTCCAGCCTGGAAATTATGGTGCCAAAAAAAAAAAAAGTAGAACTCAGGATTTTCAGATTAGATATTATATACATGTAGTTTGAAAAACCTGATCTTTTTTACGTGCCCCTTGATACTCAAAGTTAACAGTTGACATCAGAATCTACTTTTCTTTAAACTTGTTAATATATATCATACATATTATGTACAGTACTTATATTTGTCTCCTTTTCCCTCTCTCCATTCTCTATTTCTCTCAATATATCTCACTCCTCTCTCTGCAGACCCTTATGGGTTTAGTGCTTGGTTATAATTATAATCACCTGATCTCTGCATGTACCAATGAAATGCATGAGCTGAAAACAGTGTTGCCTTTTGGCAAGGCATACTTGTGTCGTGCACAATCTGAATATGTAAGAGTACACCATACAGTATAGTATACTGTACCTGAAATGTTATCTTTGTCCTCCCCTTGCTACTCTTTTCCCCTATTTCTCCCCATCTCCCTATTTTGTCCTCTCTGGGCATGTTCCCTTGAGGGAGCTGTTGTAGAACTATGGTGGATCACCAAAACTCAGCTCATAGAATCATAAGATAGGCTTGTAGTGGATGGTGGTGTCAATTCTGTAACTGTACAGTGCTATGAAACAACATTCCACTGTCAGTTCACCATCTCTTAGGTTGTCCTGTCTATCAGCAGGCATACAGAATTTTCTTCCAACGTTGTCACCACCCTAACATACTTATTTTAACTGACCTCATTGACAGCCTCACCTTTTATGCACACTGCCTTTTTGACTTTCATAAACTGCCTCATTACACCAACATTGATTATATTTTCCCTTTAGCACTCTTCACTACCCTTACTAAGTCTGCCTCTTGCACATGCCTACCCCCCACTGGTCTTCGATCTTTTATGTGTTCCTTCTTGAGTACATCCCACCCTACAGTGCTATATGATCCTTGCAGGTTTAACACTAGCTTTTAATTATAATAATATGAAACAACAGTTAATTATTGCAAGGGTAATTTTTCATATAATTTGGCAAAACACTGGTGCCATGAGTTGATGAACTTAATATCTCCTTACAGTTAATTGTGGGTGTTGTAATATGAAATGCCAGACTGGAGGCCTTTGACTGTATTTGCATTGTAAATGGCTCTGCATTTGACACAAATAGTGAGTCTGACATTTCTAAATATTGACCTCACATAAGTAGAGCTCTGAATATATGATATAATACACACTTTAACAATAACTAGAATTTTATATGTAAATTAACAAGCTTCAGGTGTTATATTTAATGTTGGGTGACAGTGTCTGTTGACTGATGTACAGATTGGTAAATAATTTTCATGTGAATAAATAGTACACATTTTGTTTTCATTTTATTCAACTAAGAATGAGCAGTTATTCTTGACAAAACTTATTATTATATTTTATTATTGTCATGGAGAAGCTGTAAACCCTTAGCTATCATTCAGCATCCAGGAAATGGGAGGCAATCAGCTTTGATCCATGGAATGGGAAGACTGCTCCAATTTTTTGGATCAAGAGCCCATCACTGGCATGAAGGTGCCTTATCGTCCATGATCACTTGCAGTGATCTATGCCATTAAGGCCAGTGTCACTTGGATCTACTTTATCAGAGTCCTCAAAAATGCTGTGGTAAATTTTGGCCTAAGCATGAGAGGATGGGTCTGTGCAGTGGATGTGCACAGTATAAAACTAATCTGGCCTCACACACTGCATGATGGAAACAGCTAATCCCTTGCATTGACTTTCTATTTTTTGACAGCAACCAAATTATTATACACCCACCTCTTCAAGGGGGGCTCCTTGGCGTGGTGAAGAGGCTCTTGGTCTGAGGAATTAGACCTGTCGGTCTACTTCCTCAGACCGAACCTAATTACCCCCCAATCCCCCGTTCCCTATCCCATCCTCCCCTTTTTCCTTTCCTCCTCCTCCTCCCCACCCCTCCCTTTTGCCCTTCCTTTTTTTTTTTTTTTTTTTTTTTCCCCACAGGCACGCTAGTTCCTAGGTAGGGGAAAGGATACCGGGGTCCATCCCATTCCGTTGAGGTTCTTGGCGGTGGCGCAGTTTGCCGTGGAATCTGGATTGCCTGGGGATGCCCTGATCCCTCTCCGGTATCCCGGAGGGTGGCTTTGGGTGTCTCTCGGGCGACGGGTGTATCTCTGGAAGCCACCTTTCGGATTCCGGGGGTGGTGGCCGAAGGAGGTATGCTTTGTGGCGGATTTCTGGCCGCCCTCTCTTTTGTCCACCGAGGTAGCTCGGCAGATGTGAGGTTGCTATCCCGGATTGCCGGTTTACTGGTATGATGGGTAGGGTATGGCACGGGTTCCATGCTGCATCTGCACTACTTGCGGCGCTGAGGTCCTCTTGGGCGCGGAGGGAGATTTCTGGCCCTTTCATTCCTCCTAGGAACTATCCCTCCCCAGTCCCCCCTTTTTTTATTCTTTTTTTTATTTTTATTTTCTTTTCTTCTTTCTTTTTTTTTCTTAAAAACAAAAAGAAAGAAGTAACCTAACCATGGCAGCCCTAGTCCATGAACCTGCTACCCCCGGGCCCCTTCTTGATACTGCACCCTGTTCTGACCCCGCCTCGTCTTTGGACCACTCTTCGGACACTCCTCATGCCTCTGTACCTCTTGCCGGTGCTGTTTCCTCACCCGCTTCAGGTACTGAGGCCTCGACTGACTCCTTCGATTTATCTGACCTTCGCTCTCCTCTGACTATGCTTCCGGCCTCTCCCTCTACGGTGCGGCAATTTTCGAATCGCCGGCCCGTTCCACGTCGGACCAACTCTGGTCCCACGCCTAAACGACAACGACAATTACCTGCTGATGATACTTCTCCACCTTCTCGTTCTTCTCAGAAAAGATCGACACGTCCTTCACTACCTTTCCCGCTCGTTTCAGACTGCACAATGGACTATAATTCTTCACTTTACGACCAAACTTCCTCTACTGCCTATCTTTTCTGACCACAGTATTGGCAAGGCACTCCTACGCCATGTTGGTAAAGATATTTCTTTTCATGCTTTTTAAGAGCGGTACGCGCATCGTCACCGTACAGAATGCTGCCCAGGCTCATGAGCTTTCTCGTCTTTCCCACATCAATACTGTTCCTGTAAAAACTATTGAAAAGCATCATTCCCTCAATTCTTGTAGTGGTACCGTCATTCTGCCCCCATACCATAGTTCAACAAAATTTCCAAAACAATGTGGCACTGACATTCTTGAACAGCTGGAACTCCAAGATCTTCCAATCCTCAAGGTAGACACTTACGTTCTTCTGCCGTGGGCGGAGACGATACCCTAGCAATGTGGCTCGTTTAACTTTTGACAGCCGTGAACTCCATCCTCAGTTTATGTAGACAGGACATCGGTTACAAGTTCGAAAGGTGATCCCTACCCCGCAACAGTGTAGAAATTGCTGGCGATTGGCCATCCAGCGAAATATTGCAGATCGATCGCCGAATTGCCCAGTCTGTGGTGCCGATGATCATTCTAATACGTCTTGCAATCGACCTCTCTCTTGCCTTAATTGTCTGAGGCTCCCCCTTCGTACTCTCGCCGTTGTCAGTCTACTTAAACGAGCGGGAAACCCGTTACCTCAAAGAGGCAGGTCCCCCTTATGCCATGGCGGGTTTCTCATCTCCGCCTCCCAAGGGAGATACCTGGTGTTTCTTATTCCCGTTTTTCAAACGTCCCCCCACTTCTGGTATCCCATCTTCTGCACCCTGCACCCACCTCTGTGGTTACCTCTCCCATTAGTCACTCCTGTAGCTAATTTTTTTGTGCTGTCCTCGGCTCCAGACGTCCCTACTTCAACGTCTCGTCTGATCTTGCTTCTTCGTGTTCTCTCTCACAAGCCTCAGTAGCGACGAGATCTCGTATGACACTTCCCCCCAATCGTCCCTCTACTTCTCAAAAGTCGAAAAAAGGTCCGTTAACACCCCTACCCATCTTCCACCTCCTCATTTTCCCTTCCTGTCTCTGTACCTGGTTCCCCCCCTCTCACTGGCTCTTTTTACAAGTGTAGGGGTTTTCACCCTCCTCCTCTTTACTGTACCTTCCCCCCCTGTTCCCCCCAAGTTTCTTCCTCTTCTGCCACCTCCCCGGTTTCTGCTTCTTCTGTCCCCTTCACGCTTTCCAGTTCCCTCCACCTTTCGCCCCCCCCCCCCTACCTTGGTACAGTCCATTACAGTTCCATCTTTTTCATCTCCCCTACCATTTCCAATATTTTGTTCCCTACGACGTCTCTGAATTCTGAAACACATGAAGCAATCTGAATATATTGCAGAGACCAAACCATCAATGGGACACTGATCCACCCTCCGCTCCTTCTCTCTCCTTCTACTCCATCTGCGCAACTCCTTTCTTCACAGCGCACCGTTCCTTCGCTGCTTTTAACGTTTTCCACTGCCTCCGCATGTGGACTTTTCTAACCCCTCTAGTCCGTAGGAACCTTTCCCGCAGATTTCAGGTATCTTTTCATTGCCAAACATGGCCTATTTACAGTGGAATATACGCGGCCTCAGGGGTAATCGGGGTGAGCTTCAGATGTTACTCTCCCCGTTTTCCCCTGTTGGTGTTTGCTTACAGGAACCAAAATTACACTTGCTGTTATCTCTCCCTCTCAGGTATAATTTATTGTATTTCAGATCCCTTTCCCGATGGGGCCTTTAATTTAAAGTGCCCCCTTTTTCTACGCACTGATATTCCATACCATCAGCTATTTGTTCGTACTTCGACATTTTCACAGCAGCCCCTATCCACTTGCATAGGTGGTATACGCTCTGTTTTTTATATCTCTCTCCTTCTCGGGCTTATCTTTTTCCGGTTATTGCCTTTTTGTTTCGTCATTTCCACCACTGATTCTGTTACTTGGTGATTTTTTAAAGCCCACCATTTCCTTGGGGGGGGGTCTCACTGTGATTCCCGTGGCATTCAGTTAGAGGCTTTTCTTGCCACCCCCCCTCCATGTTTTAAATACAGGTTTCTCACACCCATTTTGATCCTCGGACTCACACTCTCTCTTGCATCGATCTCTCAGTCTGCTCTTCCTCCGCCGCATTAGACTTCACTTGGTCTGTTCTTCCGGACTTACATGACAGCGATCATTTCCAATCATTCTTACTTCCCCTTCATATTCAACACCTCTTCGCATCCCATGCTGGCAATTTGATCAGGCAAATTGGAACCTTTACTCACACCTAACTGTTTTTAGAGAGGTTCCTTCTTCGTCCTCCATCGATGAGCTTTTACACCTCTTTCTCGTCCTCCGTTTTAACCGCAGCTTCTCATCTATAACCCCAAACTTCGGGCAGGCATTCTCAGAAATGCGTGCCTTGGTGGTCTCCTGCTTGTGCTCATGTAGTACGTTTGAAACGCGCTGCATGGGGCAGGTACCGGTACAATAGAACCACAGAGAGACTTCTTGATTTTAAGCAGAAGCGTGTGATCGCTCGCCGTGTCATCCGTGACGCTAAACGCACTTGCTGGCGAGATTATGTCTCCACCATCACCTCTGCTTCCTCTATGAGTGCAGTCTGGAAAAAAGTATGAAAACTGAGTGGTAAATATTCTCCTGACCCGGCTCCTGTTCTGCGGGTTGCTGGTGTTGATATAGCAAACCCACTAGATGTTGCCAATGAAATTGGCAATCATGTGGTCCGTATTTCTCAGGGACTCCATCTATGCCCCTCATTTCTTTCCTCAAAGTCTGCCAGAGAGTTAGCACCCTTGGACTTCTTTCTTCTCTCAGAGAAGAACAGTATAATGTGCCTTTTTACACTTCAAGAACTGGAGGCAACACTCTCGCTTGCCGATCACGCAGTGGGCCCAACGACATTCATTTTCGTATGCTAAACTTTTACATCAGTCAGCCCTTGCAGTCCTATTACCCTTTACAATCTATTTGGCCAAGGAGTTTTTCCACAGCGTGGAAATCCCCCATTGTTCTCCCTTCTGCAAACCGGGGCACTCGGGACATAAAACCTCCCCTATCGTCCCCTTTGCCTTACCGTGCAGTTTGCAAAGTGATGGAAAACGCCTAGTAAAAAAACGTTTAGTGGGGTATTTAAGACACAAACAGTCTCTCCACTCGAAATTGGCTTTCGAAGGACGTTCTCCCCTAGCCCCCTTACTACGTTTGGGATACGTATGTTTAATGCTTTGCAATAACCCTCAGTTATTGCCTTTTTTTTTGCCTTTAAAGGCAATGACCATCTTGGAGGGAAAATATTTTTGCCCAAGCCCACTCCTTAGGCCTTCGAGGCAATCTACCATCCTTCCTTAAGAACTTTTTAACTAACAGGCATTTCCGTGTTCGGGTTAATAATGTGCTCTCCCCG